CCTTGATAGTGTATATATCTGTGGTATTAGCAATATTTTAAAATTATTGTCAAATTAGTGAATGCCATTGTTGGTGAAACCTTGGGTTTCTTCTGATAGCACATTTGAAATACTACATTTCCTCTTTTGGGATTAGAAACCAATTTGACTTTAGATGTAGTGATGTTATACTGTTTACATATTTACAGTGTAGTATGGATTACTATTGAATGGGCATTTCATTTTGAACCAGCATTTTATTTCTTGTCCATAGGCTAATATAAAATTAAAGAGTTTTTTTAATCCATTAGTTCTTAAGGTCTATCCTAATGAATGAATAATAGCATTTCTTTTTCCAAGTGCATAATATAGATATACCATAGTTTAGTCAACCAGTTTCCAGTCACTGCAAGCCCTTTAAATTGCAGAAGTGTGAGAAGGGAAATTTCTAGGAGAATTCTAACTAAATTTTATTATTTTGGTTTCTGTAATTTTTTTTTTTATTGGTTTCTCCAGTTCTTATGAGACATTAGCTCCATCTTAAAAAGTGAAGTGTTAGCTCTGTGAAGGTAGAGATCTGTTCTGACTTAATAACTTTGCTACTTCCACACCTGGAACAGCAATGCCCATTATTTGTTAACTGGGTAGATAACTGCTGGATTTGAAATTACTCTCTGATTGTTAAGACAGTTTCTCTTGAGTTTTCTTTAGTATTTTTAAAACCTATGCCGAATGACCTGATACTTGATTTTGGAATTTGTATTCCCATGGATCGATTGAGAATACCACAAATTCTTGTGCTTGTATCTGGTGTTAGAATTTGCATTAAGTAATTTTACCCTGTTGCATCATTGATAGGGCTGAAATTTAAATAAGAGAAAGGTGAGAAAAGTTAAGTGACAAAGGAAAAAGTATGCTGATGGTGTGGGCCTTGCCTATCCTTAAGTTAGATTTGAAGAAATAGGGCTTCAGAATTATATAATTGTTAAGTGTAATTTATAATGCCTTATAAATAGCTTGAAATATAAATACAAGCATCTTTTTAGTCAAAACATTTTATTTGAGGTGAATGTGCTCTGAGAAGATTAAACAGTATCTTACCTATATGATTAAAAATGTGCTTATGCTTTTAAAATAAAATGAAAATAACACAAATGAAATATGAACATACTTAATTTTGTTCACAAAGAAAATACAAGATTACTTTTAAAAATTTTAGCCATTGAAGATGTTATTTGGCATAAAAATTGTAGGCAGACTATTACAGTTTCAAAAATGTATTTGTCAGTTCTTACCAATGACCAATGCTCAACATTGTATTTCATGCTTCTGATTTAAAATTCACATCATTGTTGTTGGAATAGAACTGTAGACAGCTGAACACATGTATAATGTAAAGTAACTTACCATAATTTCTCTTTTAATGATAATGTTTTGATGACTACTTTGTCAGAAACTTCTCTACCAGAATTAGAAATGATATGGTAGTATAAGAAGGTGTTTGATGATTTTACATTAGTGGATTACTATCTGAAAATGTTAAATATAAACTAAAAGGGAAAAATATGCTAGATTTAGAAGTCTGAAATTAGGAAAGAATCTTGGGATAAAAGTTAAGAGAAGTGTTGACTTAAAGTACAGGAGGATTAATGAAACTTGTTCTCAGAAAGGAGGTTGGTAGGCGACCTACTGAAAGTGATATTTACTTATAATGGATTATCTAGGGTATGCATGCCAAGAGAGAAACTTTCTTTAGCTAGAAGATCCTGGATTCAGAACGCTAATAAATAGCAATGGCTGAACAGGCTTCTAACTTGTCTTACCCAAGAGAGAGGGAGAGATATCTTTGGGGGAGCTATGGCTGTTAATTTTACTCTGTTCTCATTATGTTAGACTTCACAATGGACTAATGATACAAGAATTCTAGCATAATTTTTTTTAAGGCTCCTAAAAAATGCAAACAAACCAAACTTCTGCTTATTGATAGTTGAAATTCCTTAATTAGGAAAAGGCCTTTTATTCTTATCTTTATGTATACTTTAGATTGTTCTGTGAAAGACTGGTGTCTTTTCAGGACCGATAGCCAGTGACTACACACTGATACAGATAGGCCAGTTGTTAAAATATTGAAATAATTCTGTCCACATTAGTAAGTAGCTGTTGCCCCAAGGTTGGACTTGACTTCCCCACTCTTTTAGTCCTTAGGACTCCCTGCCATCACTTTGTGCATAACAACTAAGGGAAGTGGAGGAAAGATGGACTGAGGACTCAGCTTGCACACGATAAGGCACAAATTACTGTTCTGATTGTTCATTGCTTGTGCTTTACCAATTACTAAATATTTCAGCTATCACGCTTGGGATGAAAAACTTAAGGTTGGGAAATACAAAATGAAAGTTTTTTGACAACATGACACCTCAGAGCTTTTAGTATGCAGTAGGTATTGTGCCCCTCTAACAAGGGTAGCATGCGCATGCATTTCAAACTTTCTTGACCAGGGAATTCCTTTGTAGAAGACCTACAGTCTCACAGAACACTAGTGTCTGCAGTATATAGTATGTGAATGGCTGTTCTCTTGCATTCTATAAATGTATACTTACATCAATGTGTAAGACAGTGCTAGCCACATTAGGAAATCCATTGGTTTTTGCTTTTAAAAAACTTAAAATGTAGATACTTTCAGTGATACTTGTTTACAGCTCCATGCGATAATTAGATGACTGACTGAAATCTGTCCCTTTTTGGGTTTTAATGGGGGAGAAAATATTTTGAAGAGTTTGTGCTCCTGAAGTTGTGAGAGGCGTCTTTACCAGTTAAGAAAAATAGTGCATAAAGGATGTAACTAGATGACAAACTGCTTTCATAAGCGATGACTGTTTTTAAGGACTGGGTAAAGAAAAGTTCTTGGAAGTATTTTTGTTGTAGAAGGTAGATATAGTTTCATATGATTTATGATTGTTTAAAAAGACCTGGAGTTATACGTGAACATTATTTACAGAGAAGTTGGATATCATTATTCAGTAAGCTTGTGTCTGCTGCTTGTGTCTGGTGAATCAGAAGTCCGTAATGTTTATTGTATTTTTTGTGTTTCATTCTAATTTGAAATTTAATTATGTCAGTTATGAGGATTTTGGGTGTGATCATTCTGATAGTTTTACAAATGTTTAAGGGCATTTTGAGTAGTTTTAGTAGTTTTGGGAGACAAGACAATAGTGAACGTGTCTTGAATTGACACTAGATTGTTGAAAAGGCTGCAAATAAGCACACAAAAACAAAATAGTAAAAAGTATGAGTCCCAAATGATATAAGCAATAAATAAGGAAGTTTGTTAGGAGACTCATTCTGGGCCCTGGTAGTCAAGGAAGGTTTAATGGAGTCTGACTTTGAAGAATGAGTAAAATCGACTAAGTCAGGTCCAGGGCAAGGTTTTTTTTATTCATTTGTTTAGATTGGAAGAGATGAAGGCATGTGAGAAGAGAGGAATAGGAGCAAAAGGCCTAGCTAGAGTAAGTGTTTGGTAAAATTAGAAGGGCAGAGATTGGCTAGATAAACATAAAGCTAAGAAGTAAAAGTAATGAGATTCTCTTGGATTTTTGAACAGAGAAGCAATGTGGCAAAATGTCCTTTTATAAAAATTAAATGTGGCAGTATGCAGGATGGTTGGCAGGGAGAGTGTTAACCAGATAAAGCCAATTTCTCAACCAAATTAACATTTCACTAACACTACGTTTAAAGAAGAAAGTATATAATAGAGTTACAGTTGAAGTTGTAGCTTGAACCAGAAAGGGATGATCATCAAATAGAATTCATAGTAGGTGTAAATGCCTAAATACCTCACATTTCTTGCCCTGCATTTCTATCAGGTATAAACATAGGAACTTGATAGAAAGCATAGCCACAGTCTGTGTTTTTTTTCTTTTCTTTTCTTTCCGTTTTTGTTTTTTTTTAACTGAGAATTGAAAGAGCAAGTTCTGTGACTGCTGACCTTGGTCCTGAATGATAGCTAAAGTACTACTATTTCTCTGAGAAGTGGTTTGGAATGAGTTCTGCATTCCGATGGGCTGGGCAGCAACCAGTTTTAACTAATACAATGCCTGGGAACTGCAAGATGTTCTTGTTCACATCTATCAGTAGTTAAGAACATGGATTATGGGGCCAAATTACCTTGGGATCAAATCTCCGCCGAGCCACTTATTAAATCTATGTAAGTTACTTCTCTGTGCCTTAGTGTCTCGGAGTTTTGAGAAACGAATCAGTTCATGTAAAGCACTTGGAACAGTCATTGGCACATGTGCAATACTCTGTAGTCATTGTTATTATCCATATATTTTTGTGTATACTCTTACCGTGGAGGGAACCTGAGAGAATGGCGACTGGTTTTGTTGCATATTATGTTGTAATGTTATAATCAATTCCATGCTACTGCACATTTTCTGTCAGACTTCAGTCAGGTTATTGGTGACAAGTTTTCATCTTAAAAAAACAACAACTATTTAACAGCAGAAGCTTAAGTACAGTCTAATTGCTATATGGAATTTATTAGGCGTGATTTCAAGGAAGCTCTGTCTTGGAAAAATGGATCTTGTAAAATTTTAGGCTCATAGTTCCTATTTTCATTGTTTGTACATCTGATAAGATACGTATTAAGTGTGTGTGCCTTTGTAAGTATTTTAATGCCTTCATCTTTTTTTTCCAGTATTAAAGCGTGAAATAAATCCCCACTGTTTTTCAAGATTATTTAGGAGTTGTAATTACCGCTCAGCACCTAGGACAGCACCCAGTGCAACACAGTGTACATGAACTCTGCTTTGAGGTTTGGGGTTTGTGTTCTGGATTCGGGAAAGAAAAGAAGAGAAGGTTTTTGGGAAAGTTTAAAATCCTCATAAGCACTTATTCTAAAAGTGTATGAAATGCAGAATGGTTTCGTGCCTTTGTTTCAAAATGTTTTACACTGGCTGTAGAACCCACTTCATGAAGTAGTTTGAGTTAAAATGATCTAATATTTGTGTTTTAACTTTCAGCTTTGTGTTATTCTTGGAAAATTTCGCACCACTTGTGAATTCCTTGAACCTGGGCATTGCAAACCCACTTCTGTTGGGCCCATCTCCTTTGCACTTTGCTCAGATTAAGACTCAGTTGGCGCTTCAGCAGCTGAATGCCGTTGCCTCACATAGTTCAACACCACCTTATACTTTATTAAATCAGGCTTTTTTGAAAATAGCCATGTCGAGACCCAGGTTTAATCCTCGAGGAAACTTTCCACTTCAGAGGCCACGAGCACCTAACCCTTCTGGGATGAGGCCTCCAGGACCATTTATGAGGCCTGGATCTATGGGTCTCCCAAGATTTTACCCAGCAGGGAGAGCCCGTGGAATTCCACACAGATTTGCTGGCCATGAATCTTATCAGAACTTGGGACCACAGAGAATGAATGTTCAGGTAACTCAGCACCGAACTGATCCAAGATTGACCAAAGAAAAACTGGATTTTCATGAAGCACAACAAAAGAAGGGGAAACCTCATAGTAGTCGGTGGGATGATGAGCCTCAGATATCTGCATCAGTGGGAGTGAAACAGAGTTCTGTAACACAGGTTACAGAGCAGAATCCTAAAGTGCAGAACCGCTATACAAAAGAGAGTGCCTCAAGTATCTTAGCAAGTTTTGGATTATCTAATGAAGACTTAGAAGAACTCAGCCGCTATCCTGATGAACAGCTAACTCCTGAAAATATGCCATTAATTTTGAGGGATATAAGAATGCGAAAAATGGGGCGCCGATTACCTAATTTACCTTCTCAGAGCAGAAATAAAGAAACACTTGGTAGCGAGGCAGTTTCAAGTAATGTGATTGATTATGGGCATGCAAGCAAATATGGCTACACAGAAGATCCACTTGAAGTACGTATTTATGATCCTGAAATTCCAACTGATGAGGTCAAGAATGAATTTCGGTCCCAGCAGGGCATTTCTGCATCTGTTCCTGCACCAAATGTTATGTGTAATTCTATGTTTCCTGTTGAAGATGTGTTTCGACACATGGACTTCCCCAGTGAGTCCTCCAATAATCAGACCTTTTTCCCAGTTGAGAGTGGAACCAAGATGTCAGGCTTACGCATTTCAGGAGGACAGTCAGTCCTTGAACCTGTAAAATCTGTCAGCCAATCCATTAGCCAAACAGTTAACCAGACAATGAGTCAGTCTCTGATTCCTCCATCTATGAACCAGCAACCTTTTTCATCGGAATTAATTTCATCTGTAAGCCAACAGGAACGAATCCCACGTGAGCCTGTGATTAATTCACCTAATGTGCGTGGATCAGGAGGAAGTAAAAAGAATTACCAGTCAGAGGCTGACATTCCCATTCATTCTCCCTTTGGGATTGTGAAAGCATCCTGGCTACCAAAATTTTCACATGCTGATGCCCAGAAGATGAAGAGACTTCCAACTCCCTCAATGATGAATGATTATTATGCAGCGTCTCCAAGAATATTTCCACATTTGTGTTCTCTGTGTAACGTAGAATGTAGTCATTTGAAGGTGAGTGTTTTTAAAGATCACTGTATAATGATACTCATCGCCCAAGTTTCCTCTGAATTCTCATGTATGCTGGTGTTAACTAGGCATTAAGGAAAGAGCAGAAATTAATTTTGATCACAACAGCAATGCTTAGTTGTAATCTAAGTATTCCTGGCCTAAGTACTTAATTGAGTGTTAGGCTTTCTGTATTCCTGTGACGGCACACCACATGGTTCGTCCATTTATTTTGAACTTTTGATTATTTATCCCAGGAAATTTATGCAACATAAAATTTATATAACATAAACTGTATACTTAAAAGACAATGTCACACGAGTCACTTTTATTTAAATAAGAGAATCTGTTAGTATAATAAAAAGTTGGAATAAAGCATTTGTACTGCACACTTTGAAGAGACAGTGTATAGCCTTGCGTGTATCTACCCATCTTGGGCTAAAGACAGTTATTGTCAGTTTAAATATTTTCTGAGTCTCTCTGGACTAGAATTTTTAGTGTTGCATGAGAAAGGGCTTCCTAAAATAACTTTATCCATAGTAAGATTGAGTCAAGATGAGTTATTTGGGGACTAGCTGTGGGCTCAGTGAATAGAGTGTAAAGTGATAAGAATTTAGAGAAAAATCCTTAAAATATAAAGAAGCTGTAGATATCTTCATGGTTAGTATAGTTGGAAAGAAGTATTTTATAGAGGTGCTGAGGAGTAATGTAGAATATACTATTTGATAGTAATCATTGGTGGATTTGAGTAAGATTTTCCAAGTATGTTTTATTTGCATATATGTTTGGAAACCACGTCTATTTACTAATGTGATTTGTAGATTTATATCATAAATGGTCAGGAAAGAATGGACTTTCCATGGGAACAAGCTTTGATTCAAGATCATAGCATTGAGTTATATACTTTGAATAGGCTTAAAAATCTGTAGATATTCTTGTTTTTTTTTTTTTTCCTTTCAGTCCTATCCTTTTATTGTCTATTACCTACTCACCAGGTTTCAGCCAACAAGAACCTGATATCTAGAACTGATGCTTTTGTCTTAAGGTTAGCTCCAGCAAAGGAAAGCAGCATTCTCTACCTCATTTTAACTAGATTTGCTGAGTTCTAATAATAGTTGCCTTACCCTATCAAAAGGGATAGCAAAGTCTTGAAAAATCTCAGAATAATTCATAGCACTTAGTCATAATCTGTAAGTAGCCCTAGCCTAAGTACTGATTTGGATGTTAAGCACTCTCTATTCCATTTATTTTGAACTTTAAATTAGTCATGATGAATCCAAGAAAAATATCCTAAAGAACTTAAAAATTTTTATTTGTAGAATAGAAAAGGTGTACCTTTATTCAGTTTGCGTTTACTAATTACCAGTTTTGTACATGACTATGTTAAGTGCTGGGGCAGAAATGAAGAACTAAAAAATTCAGATATTCTTAAACAGTTTAAACAGTCTCATTGTCTTCTAATTACACACCTAAGGAATTTTTAAAAAATGAGAGGACAACGAATGATTTGTTGATTGTATTTAACTTGTTTGGGTATTCTGTAGAGAAGCGATATTTAATATTTCTCTTTATTTCAGGCTTATATCAGTTCAGGCCAACATTATCAATTTACCAACACCTATTAGGTATTTAGCGGTATGTAATTAAAAAGTATAAATATGCTTTCTGACATCAAAAGACTTTTGTATAGTCTAGATAAGACTAATTGACTAATTGATAGTGACTAACTACAGTAAGTCTTTTTGGACTACAATGATGTGGGAAGGAAGACTTTATGAAGTAGGATGAATGAAGATAGGTCTTGAATGATGTGACTTCAGTATACCTAGGGGAGGAGGGATAACATTTCACATGGGAGCAGCAACAATAAGTACAAAGGGCCTTGAAAAGTGAACCTAAGAAGTTTAAACTTCAGGTATGAGAGGCATGAGGAAGCCAGTTAATGTTCTCGCTATATGAAACAACATGTTAACCCATTTCTGATTTTCCCTGAGAATACTGGCCGGCAGTGCTTGTGGCTGCAGCATTTACCCCAAGATAACTCACGGATTATAGTCCTAACTTTATCTCCACAGTCTGCCATGAAATATCTTGCTTTAATTATTCTTTTCATATTGCTCTAGTATATCGATAGTCTTTGGAAACAAATGACGTCATTCTATTTATAGCATTCTGTTTTTAGTGGTATTTTCATTTACAAAATATAGTAATTCTCTATCTGTGAAAATTTCAAATCCTAGAAAATATAGCATTCCTATGTGTGATGTATGTTAACATTGTTCTCAAACAGTTGTTAGCCGAAGATGCATTTGATGAATCCGATATGTGTATACGTTTGTTACATTAGGATTAGAGACAGGTTCTGTTTCGAAATAACTCCAAGAAAGGTTTTTATATTTTACTTTCACATTGAAAACCAGTCAGATTTACTTCACCCTCAAAGAGCGTGTTTATGTAAAATTAAGGCTGGCAGCGAGATGCACTTTTTCTACATGGGAAATGGGTTAAAAGTATATTTTAGGGAAATAAATCTAGCTGAACTGTGTAATGAATAAGAATAAGAAGAGATAAGGTAAGGCACTAATTGAGGCTTCCCTGGTAAAAAGCTGGGCTAATACAATAAAAGTAAAATTTAGAGAGGAAAAGAAATCATTAATGGTCATTAGAGTTCACAGAGATTGATTGCCAATTTAAACAAACATCTTTTACAGTCACAGCTGCACAATGGAGCTAACCAATGAATTCTTCACTACTAGATGACTAAATGATAGGGATTCTTCACTGTTAGATGACTAAATGATGAGATGACACAAACCACCTCTCCTGTTTCTGTGATATGTTTTGCTGCCTTGTAAGTGCATATATGACATAAATATGTGGCCAATAAATGTAAATTACCAATTGCAAATTTTTTCTTAGTAATATCTGACAGTACGTTCTCCACCTCTGGAGTCTTTCAAATGAGCCTGAAAAGAGCAACAATAGAATATGAAATGTATTTTTTTTCTAAATTGGGATTTAGACATTAGAGGAGGAAGTTTTAGGTTTAGAAGTTATGACTTTTTGACTGTCCTTGATTTAGAAGGCTGTTTTTGGTTTAAAAACTTTCTGACAGAAATAATTCAGTTTGAGAAAAGTACTGATGAAAGATTTTTAAGGTAGTTGGATGGAGGATATGGAAAAGTGTCACCTTCGATCTGGGCTCTCTCAAGTCTATATAGTCCTTGCAGCATCTCCTGCTTAGTAGGCAATTATCACTTTCTCTGGAGAGGCAGTACTGCTTTGAGACCTTTTTCTAATCTGCATATTGTTACTTAGTCTTGAAACTGGGGTGCCATAGGTATATTTACTGAGTTTAAATCAAGTAATGGCAGTGAGTGAAGTGGACCTATTAAAAGACGGAGCGGGCATGTATATGTGTGTGTAGGACTGGAGAGAATATGCCTTAAATAGGGCAGCTATCGGCATAAGCTGGTATTTGCTATATAGAATACATACATGTGCAGTATTATATCTTCATATTTTTTTCAAGAAGAGCAGGAAATCTGGATTTGGGGTTAAAATCTCTGGATTTGTTCAACTTATTCAAATAAAATAAGTTTTATTTTATTTTATGGTTCCAATAAATCATGCCCAGTCTACTACCTGCCAGTGTGTCTGTTTGATGTAAACTGTCCAGTTACTGTCAAAAACATGGGTTTAGCAATACTAGAGACTAATTGCCAACCTCCGTTTGTATTGCTGAGCAGGCTGTGCAGACTTTTTTTTTTGCAATCTACAATCAGTGTCATGGTTTAATGAAATAGTTTAGGGTTTGTCAGAACCTGTTACTGAGCATTGCAAGTAGCATTCACTTATTTTCAGATAGTTCTTGACAAGGCAGAGTCCATAATTAGTGTCAACTGTGGTTTTAACTGGAAATTTCTAGTTCGTCTATAGCAATGACAAAATAGAGTGTTTTTGGAATGGAAATGAATAACATTTTTCTCTAGGAACATTTTAAAATACAAAACTGTTTAGTAAGTTTTCTGCCTTATCCAAATGCTGGAGAAACAATAAAACACTGAGTAATATACATGTTGCTTTTAACTAATTGTTTCACTTGGGGGACTTTATCTTTGAAAACTGTATTGTGCTTTTTTTTTTTTTTTTAATCAGATGTATTTTCCAGAAGGTATTTATGGGTACAGAATGTAATTTTAGGGAAGATTTGTAAAGAAAGTAATGTATAAGAAAGCATTTGTTCATTGTAAAAGCTCTTCATGTAAGGGACATTGTGTTTTTAAAATGGTGTTATTTCCCCTTAAATCTTGAAAATAAATAGATTTTATCACCAACTTTTCATATTTTTACTAATTTTATCCTTTGCCAATATAGTGAGTACCTTGTTTGGAATGGTACTGGCCTAAGAGGTAGGATTTTTTGTTGTTGTTAATGTTACTAGCTTGAATTTTAGAGGTAAAAGCCATCTCAGATACCATTTTATTTATAGAGTTTTTGATGTTCTCTGGAGTGCTGTGTTTATATTGGAGATGAATTATTTCTAATCAACACTTTTATTTTCTCCAACTTTCAATATATATGTTTGATTTCAAAATGAGTAGACATGGTATGATTTTTAAAATGCTTTCTATACTAAAAGGTTTTAAAATGGCATCAAAGAGGCGTATGATATTAAGTGCCTTTGTTTGGAGGCCTTTATTTTTGTTTGTAAAAATTTTATTGAGTAGCTAAATGCTCTTTATAACTAGATTTGTTTAGTTTTGGGGGAAAAAGTATGCTCTATCATTTTAAAAATCCTAATTTCATTAGTCAGCAATGAGGAATGTTCTAATTTCAGCACTTTTCTCCTTTTATAATAGGATTGGATTCAGCATCAAAATACATCTACTCATATTGAGAGCTGCCGACAGTTACGTCAACAGTAAGAATTATTTTTTCTTTTTTATAGGTAGCAAATTTATAAAATAGTTAATGCTCAGGTATGACTGTTTAGTACCTTCAGTGTGGTCCTTCGAAGATAAATATTTCTAGAATAGTATTGCCTATTTAAAGTACTAATTTTATAGAAGTATATTTTATCTTTTTCCAAAAGGAGAGAATTAAATATGATCTTTTCTTCTGACTTCTTCCTAATATGAGTAGGTAGATGTTTAATATCATTGGTTCATTTCTTGCTGGCTTGTACTCCTTAGGATGGTTTATGTAATTTAGAGTAGATAGTTTTCCCTTCTTGGGTCAGCCCCCTCACCCCTCAAGGATGAATAACTAAAAACCACCCAATCCAATACCAATATTTAATTTAATTTCAGGTCTAAAGCTCTCCTTTGAATTAGAACCTATTTTCAGAGTAAAACTTAAGTAGGAGACAAACAAGCTAGATGTGTTAGTTCCTCAACATTGGTTCTTCAATTCTTCTACCTTTTCCTTCTTTAGGACAGGGCACTTATGAAGGTGAAAAGTGTGATTTAACAGTATTCTCTTATGTCCCTTGACGTAACATAAAATTAAATAGTGTTCCGCCTAGCGTTATTAAACATGTTGATAGAGTTTGGATGTCCAGTTTCTGGTCACTAGACTGATTGCACTTGGGCAAATGGGTCTGTGGCATCTGTTTTGGTTTTTAATTTGGTTCTTTATGAAAACATGACCAAATTTTTTTGAGATTATCTAGGACTCTAGTTATAAGTGATAAACCTAACCAAAGTTGTTTTTAAAGAAAGAGAACTTATTAGATCATTTAACTAGGAAGCTTAAGGAATGGTTCTAGTTTCAGAATAGATGAATTGGATGCTCAACAAAAACCAAAGTGTCAGAAGTATTTTGATTTCTTGGCTGTTCCCTTTTGCTTTGGCCTTACGAGATCGCAGGCACACTTTTTCCACAGAGCAAATGACCCCCTCATAGTTCAGGGTTTAAGTGATCTGTATAGCTAGCAATTTCAGAAGTCAAAGGGGGAAAAAAGCACCTCTTTTCTCATAATTCTTGTATAAGTCCTTGGTTTGACTCTTTGGTCTACTTTGAGTTAGTTGTTCATCTCTGAACCAGTTATAATGGTTGTAGGAATATGGGGTTCTGCCTTGTGCCTACTCCTGGTGTTGAGTGATACAAGCCCTACCTGAATCATATAGAATAAGAATAGAGTTTGGAGTTGCTTCCTTATATAGATGCTCTACAAAGAAACATAGGTTATTATACAGAAATAATCATTACCTGAATTGGATAGGCTTTACAGCTACTGTATATGGAAAATTACTCCTAAGCCACAAATTTTTCCACAGTTACCCAGTGGGATGTCTAAAGGTTATGAAGGTGAAGGATTTGGGTGGGAGAGAGTGACTTGCTGTAGGTAGGCATTAATGCTAGAAAGAAGATTTTAGCTTTATGCACTGTCATTAATTTACTAGATCAGATAGCATGGATGCTTGATAAAGCCTTTGTCTAGGTAAGCCTATCTTTTTCATGCACATAGGACCAAGGTTTTTAAGCTTTCAATACCTGCCACTTTAATACTCTGTCCTACATTTTTACCTTTTTTCAAATTGTGTGTTGTTGAATAAATTCTTCATGGCTTTCTCTCCACTTAAAAAAAATTAAAAGATAAAAATTAGATTTGATTAAGTGTTTGGGATCCTTCTATGGCCAAATATATGCTACTCTGCTTTTTTTTAAGCTGCATTGTTTCATTGTGTTTTATACCTAATCTGTTTAGTCATTCCTCTACTAATGTATATTTAAATTCTTACTCTTTTTTGTAAGGGTTATTACTTCTTCCTTTTCTTTGTCTTGTTGGATCTTTCTGGATTATGACAGAGTCGTTGGTTAACTTGAGAAGGCCACAAATAATCATTATATATTTATCTCATAGGATTGCTTTGAAGAGTAAATAATTATGTAAAGCACTTAGAATAACGCCCAGTCCACAGTAAGCATATATCTGTTATTTGTGATTTTACCAGTGAGGAAACTGAGTCATAAAGAAGCAAATTTCATACTGTTACCCAACAAATACTGTCTGACTCGTGGATCTTTGCTCCCTTTTTTCTCCCCTCAACATTTTTTGCTGAGAAATTTCTAAGCTGCAAAATGTTTGAAGAGATAGTAAACATTCATATATTCTTCGTTTTCACCAATTTATTAACATTTGCACATCTGTTTTATATCTTTATGTATAAATTTTTTGAACTATTTGAAAATATATTGCAGACATTATGACAGTTCACTTTTTAATTAAACATGTCTTCCACCTGTTTCCCAAATGCTTTTTATAACTATCCCTGCCTACCCCTCATACACCCTTCCAATCCAGAATTCAGTCAGGATTCATGCATTGCAGTCTCTTTTAATCTAGAACAGTTTACCTTGTGCCCTTTATTTTTTAGGATATTTTTATGATGTTGACTTCTTTTGAAACGTCCAAGAAAACTGTCTTGTAGAATGTACCACATTCTCTGCTTTCTGTTTGTTTCGTCATTGTTAAATTCAGGTTGAACATTTTTGTTAGAAAAACTTTATAGGTGATGTGTCTGCTTATTGTACCATGTTGGGACACAGGTAATGTCAATTACATAGATCTTTGTTCTTAGCCATTGTTATACAGCCTGTGTAAGGAGTATCATGCTTCTGAAATACATTTTAAACTAGTTAGGTAATATGTAGACCATCCAAACTCAACTTGCAGAATAGTATATATGCTTTATCATTCTGTCCTAGGTAGCAGAAACAAGAACATGCATTTTGGCAGTCAACCTAGTGAAGATCTAAAACGTTGTTGCCAACACTTGAATAATAAATAGTCTTTAAGCTCTTGTGAATCCATAAATTGGAAAGCTCTGGACATTTAATAACTAGCATGTGTCAACAGCCAACTGTATTTCCAGCATTGTACACACAACGAGAAAGCTAAGACCTACTCATATTAAGTAACTGGCTTTCAGATACAAGGCTATTAAGTGGCAGCACCTACATTTAGATCCAGCTTTGTTTGATTCCACTGATTTGAAGGACTATACCATAAGACTAGAAATTGATCTTAGTACAGAGTAAGGAAAGTTTTAAAAAGTATAAGAGTAGATGAAACAAAATTATCCACGTTTTGACAACTGTTGATGCTAGATGATGGATACAATGGATTAAAATTAACATTGTCTTCTCATAGTTTGTCACCTCAAAGCAGGAAGAAGGGGCAAAAGTTTTCTCGGAAGTTTGCCAGTGGTTTTGCATCTCTGTCTCATTGGTTAGAATCTATCACTGGCTATCTTCTAAGGAGGCTGGGATAGCAAATATTTAGCTTTTTTTAGCCTTTGTAATAGAGGTAGGCAAAGGAAAAAGGAGTTGAGAATTGCCGTCAAGTCAAGCTATTAATGTCTGAGACAAATAGCAACAAATAAAAACCACTTTACCTTTATTAAGGTTTTGATCTAACTTTATTTTCCTGCCAGGTAACTGTTGAAAGAGTCTGCTGCTTGCATTTCCGTACCTGACTCTCTTGGTTACTGGAATTATATTTTTGAATATTAATGGTTTTGAATGATTTAATTTAATCACCATTTTTTCAGATAACCTTTAGAGTCCAGATTCTCTAGAAATGGATGAAGATGTTGTTTTCTTAGGCTTCTGTGATGTTACTGTTCCTTCTACTTTTTATGTGATTATCCCTTAATCTCTTTCATTGGTTTATCTTTGTCTGCTTTACTCTCTAAGTGTTGGTGTGCCTAAGATGCTGTCCTCAGCCCTCTTTTTTTCTACAAACTCCATTCTGTTTTAGTCTCTCACTCTTTGTACTATAGTTGTGGCTTCTACATGCCTGGTTTCTAAATATCTCAGCCCTCATCCTTTCCCCTAATTCCAGATATTTATTTCTGATTGTTCTGAAAACATTCCTGTGTTCTCTTCACTTCAGAAATGTGTTGATTCCCTTTTACTTATGTACAATTTCATTACCTGGATTCAAGGACCTTTACAGTTTATCTCTGAGTTACCTTTCTAGGTTTCCCCGCTCATAATTCCTTTTTATGATTGCCATGCTGCAGCCAGACTGGTTTCTGGAATAGAACATGTGTTTTGCCTCCAATCCTTTTTTTCTGTATTGCCACTGCAGGAAACCTAACCTGATCCATGCCTATTGATAGACCTTTTTAAGGGCTACCAGAAAAAGCAACCTTTTCTGTGAATTCTCTCCTGATTTCTCCCACTAGATGTATCTCTCTGAGGACCACTTGGTACAATGTAAGGGGCACCATTCATGTCCCCTGGAATTCTGCAAAGTACGTCAACTGTCTTCCCTCTTTGTACCCCTACCTAAGTTTGTATCTTGTACCTGTTTTGTACATCTTAACACTGTTAGGTATACTGCCTGTTTTACTTTTAAAAAAAATATTTAAGCCTTTAAAAGTATGGGGAATATGTTTCTTTTCCCCAAATTGCTTACTAGCATAATACTTTGATTATTTATGGAATTAGATGCTCAAAATATTTTACTCCCAAGAAAATTTTTGTATTTTAATATACTAATAAGTCACTTTGTAAACATAGGTTTTGAATAGATATATTGAGCCTTAGTCTTATTTTAACTGTTAATATCATTTATTCCTAAAATAGATATCCTGATTGGAATCCTGAGATCCTCCCATCAAGAAGGTAATTTTTTTTAATGGTGGTATTATTGAAACTCAATTTTCTTTTAAAAGTAAACAAGTACTTTTTTTTAAAGGTATTGTTTTAAATTGAGTCCTGTTTTGACCATTTTTACTTATAAACAGCAGGCAAATGCAACAGTCTCTATGAATCTTTCTTTAATTACCCTAGCTTAAATGTGATAGCTCTCCTCTGTGAACTTCTATGTTTTTAGTCTTTTATCAAAATACTTTATTCTTTTATTATTATTTTATATTTGTGGGATCTTAGATTATAAATGCCTTGAAGGCTAGGAATGGTTTTATTAAGCTTTCTATTCTCTAGTGGTTCCCTATTCAGTGCCTGTGTGTACAAGTACAGCAGTCAAAGAAATGTTTGTAAATGACATAATCTTTTAGGAAAAAATGTTGAAAAGCAGTTATAAATCATTTCCGAAATTCTTTATATAACTTAATACTTTTAAAACATAATCGGCTATTAATAGTGGTTCAAGAAAAGCCCAAGAAATTGATGATGGTATTCTTCTGTAAATTAGCGAAACATAGGGATCCAAGAAATTAGAGGGCTGATCGTCTGTTCTGATTACTTATTTATCTCAAGCCTGAATTATAACAAACAGGCTTTTGTTTTTAATAAATACATAATATCAGAGTATGGTATTGTTAATAGTGTGTTTTTAAGAAGGTACTTCTTAAAATAGTTTACATTAAATTACTGAATCTTTTTTGTGTTTTCTGTACTTTGTAGAAATGAAGGCAACAGAAAAGAAAATGAAACTCCAAGAAGACGTTCTCATTCCCCCAGTCCTAGACATTCTAGGAGATCAAGCTCAAGTCACAGATTCAATAGATCTCGAAGCCCTAGACAGTCTAGGAGATCAAGCTCAAGTCACCGATTCCATAGATCTCGAAGCCCAACACGTTATATGTATAGACCAAGAAGTCGAAGTCCAAGAATTTGCCATCGTTTCATTGCTAGATTCAGATCTAGATCCCGTTCACCATATAGAATGAGAAATCTGTTTAGAGGCAGTCCAAAAAGCTATCGATCAGTTAGCCCTGAAAGGACATTAAGGAGATCAGTGAGATCATCAGGTACATTTATGTCATGAATAAGTCTACTTATTTTGTCTAGATTTTTTAGGGTTTTTTTTTAGTTTGAATTTTTATATTTCTATATTTTAATAGGTTTGAATTGGTGACTTACATACTACTAAGTTTTAACAAAAGTTGACATTTGAGTTATTTTATTTGCCTTAGCTCTTTTTAAACCTTTTAAGGTTTTTACAAAATGAAATGTTCTATTTTATTAAATTTTGAAATTGCTATATGAAATCTGACCCACATCCCAACCTAGTTTATTTTTCTTCCCTTTATTAACTATTAGAAGAAGTGTGGAAGAGTGTATTATCCAACCAACATCGAATTTAAAAACCAAAATATACAAACATCTTAGTTTGCCTTAATAATTGATTATAGACTTGTCTTCTATGAATTAACTTAAAGCTTTTTAAAATTATTGTTTTCAACCTGTGTGTTAATACTGGTTTAGTCACCTTTCTGGAAATAGCTCTTTTATATATTATATATATTTTCTTAGAGATCTTTTCAGAGGTCTGTGAGGTCTCCCTTTTTCCAGCTAACTACTTATCTATGTGAAGCTGGATTTTCTTCTAATATTTCAACCAGAATAATGTATCCAGCAGATTGAATACAGAAACAATTATAAGAATTCAGGTGTCTTCTGTTAAACCCAACATTAAAGTGTTTGGGAAAATATACAATGGTGCTACTCATCTAATTTTTTTTATTTGTTTTGGAAATTCAGGTTATTTTCATAAAAATGTTATTTATGTTAATATAGTTTATTATTAAATGAATTAATAAATGGTTTTAAAATTCTCTTTTAATTTCTTGTATGGTAAATATTGATACATTTAATACAAAGAAATGCTCTTTGGAATTCTCCATTTTAAAGAGTGTAAAGGAATATGGAAACCAAAAGTTTAAGGACCACTGGTATAAGAGGTCACTGGGTAAAGGAAATTCATGTAAAAGTCTTTCGAGTGAAAGAATTAAAGACTAAGAATTTTTGTGTGTATATATGCTCCCTATTTGGCCTGACAGTGGCTCTATGGTAAATATTTGGGCAGTTGAGGGATTATTCTTTTTTTTTTATAATGGGATAAGATGATTCCTACCTTAAGTTCTTTTCAATTAAGGTTGTGTTTATATCCTTTTTACTAGATAGAAAAAGGGCATTAGAAGATGTAGCACAACGACCTGGGCATGTGTCAGAATTCAATAAACAGAAGCATCTTGAAGCAGTTGATAAAGGACAGTCACCAGCACAAAAACCTAAAACTAGCAGTGGATCAAAATCATCAGTTAAGTCTATAAGCTCTACAAAGAATGACTCAAATTTAGGAGAGTATTCTACTCGTTACAAATCAAAGAATCTTGAAGATGGCACCTTACCAGAATGTAAACAGGTGTCTGATAAAGCCGTTTCTCTCCAGCGTAAGGTCAGTAGTTCTCTAATTTGTTACTATAGGTGTATGCATACATTTGCTATTATTACAAAGAAAACATCTAAATTTTTTATTTTCATTTTCCCTAAAGTTCGAAATCATGACTTGTTAAATTCTGTTGGTATGAAGTATTTTATTGGTTTCTTTTCTGAATAGAATAAAAGTCTAATAATTCAAAATCTTGAGACTTACAATTCCTAGAGGTTTGGCATTTGATGTATCAAAAATGAGAACATTTTGATGGTTTTGCTATCCGATTGGGAAAGTGAATGTAATCACCAGCAGCATTAAGAAGTTTTTGTAATCTTTATTAATAATCTATAAGAATGAGTTTCTACTGAGAATTAATCATTTTCAACCTGCTTTATACTTTTTGCAGTATAGTTCAGAAGTCAAATACTCTGTTGTCCAGTATAGAAGAATATGTTTTTCTAGGTACTAATTTATTGGTGTTTTCGGACTTTAATCTGCTAATTATAATATTGGGGTATTGTCTTATTGTCTATGTTAATTAAATTACTATTATAGTAAATAATATATAAAGCATCCTGAGATTATCAGAGTATCTCCCAATAGGCCAAATTATGATATATTTAGTTTATTGTAATATTAACAAGTCTTTGAGTATTTAGGTACACATTACTCTTAACTTTAGCTGAGAGTACTTTCAACAACTACAGTTCCCTGCCCCCAAAGAACTTTTATTTAGAAGGATAAACTTAAAATTATCAACCTGTAAATTAATTTTGAAGAGCATTGGGAAGAAATGTTGATTATAGGGGAAATTTTGAAGAGGCTGAATTATGAATTAGTCTGTAACATTTCTTTCATTTTATTTCAAGATCTCTAAGGGGTGGCAGTGGGAGTTTTATTTTCCATTTTTACTTTTTTTTTTTCCCACTAGAATACCAGTTTATTATAAAAGGATATAACTCTGGAACAGCCAGATGGCAGAAATGTATAGGGCAAGGTATGGGGCTTTCATGCCCTCTTCTAGCATGCTCCTATTCTAGCACCTCCGTGTGTTCACCAACCCAGAAGCACTCCAGACCCCTGTCCTTAACGGGTTTTTGCGGAAGCTGCATTACATAGGCATGGTTGATTAAATTATTGGCCATGGGTAATTGAACTTAATCTCCAGTCCCTCTGCCTTCCTCAGAAGTTATGGGGGTGAGACATAACAAAAGATACCTTTATTACCCTCATTACTTGGGAAATACCAAGGAGTTTAGGAGCTCTGTGTTAGGAATGGGGATGAATACCAAAAATATATTTCTTATTAAAAATCACAGTATCGGACTTGGCCATCCTATTTCAGTATCTCAGCCAGTACTGGGTCCTGCCTGTGACATTGAGGTCATCTAATGAGGAAGTGTGTTTAGAGTAAACTAGGTGCTTGCCAAAAGCAGAGCTCTCTCTTTTCCAGGTTGTTTTTAATACTTTGACAGTAAATAGATTTGAAAGCTCAGGACACCAGGGACACCAGAGAAGTGCCCCTTGTTCTTCGCCCACAGCCATGGTTTTTTTTACATATTACCATGCTGGGCTTAGTGCTCCATTTATGAGACAATTTCTGATACTTCTGTTTTGATGCCCAAGCAGATCTGGATCCACTCATGCTTTTTGGGTGGGTTGGGCAGGGGAGCAGGGCAGGATGGGAAGAGGGCAAACAGATTTTTTTGCTGGAAGTGGGCATCTGCTTCCAAAGGTGACAAGCACTCTGCTTAGACAGCTGGCTGCAGTAAGATCCGGGCGGTAACTCAATACCTTGTTTGAGGCAGGGTCACTGGGAAGAGCCTTCTTTGGCTTGCCTGCTTGCCTATCTGCTTGCCTTTATTCCTTTCCTCCCTCCCTTTCTTTCTTACTTCCTTTGCTTAACATTTTTTTTTTTTTTAATATTTCAGTTGTAGTTGACAATATATTAGTTTCAGGTGTACAACATAGTGGTTAGACATTTATATAACTTAAGAAGTGATCCCCCCATAAGTCTAGCACCCATCTGGTACCATACATAGTCATTACAGTATTATTAACTATGTTCCCTATTCTGCACGTTTCTGTCCCTGTGACTTTCACAACTGCCAATTTGTGCTTTGTAATTGTGGCATTGGGAATTTTTTAAAGTTTTTTTTTTTTTTTTTTTAAGTTTTTAACATAGGTGATAAATTTGATATTACAGGTTATTCAAATTGTATGTATTATATATGAATCTTTTAAAATATGCCTATTATGACATCATTTTCAATTATTAGAACAAAATTAACAAAGCTATAATTTCAGCTTTATTAGTGATGGACCATGCAGATTTATATAGAAAAATACACTATAATAGTTTTGGACCATTCTATAAGTCTTGCTTGTTATAAAATACTTCTGAACAGAAAAGAGCATCTGTGACTGGTTACCTACAAATTCATGACCACTTTTGGGTTTCAGTTGTAAAATAGAAAACATTTCTTACCACTGTTCTTTAGAATGTAAAAAGTTTTTAATTGTGCTAAAATATTAAGAAAAAACTGTTTAAAGAACTAAGATTAATGGTAGAAGAAATTATATTGGGAATTATTACTATACTTCATGCCTTAATTTGGTTTATTTTTAATTTTTTTTCCTTCCAAAAATAGCTTCGGAAAGACCAGCCTTTGTATTATGGTTCAGTTCTTCTTATATCTGAATTACCAGAGGATGGCTATACTGAAGAAGATATTAGGAAAATATTTCAACCATTTGGAAAAGTTAACAATGTCCTCATTGTTCCATATAGAAAAGAGGTGAGTCATTTAGTCGGTTCTAAAAATGCCTACAAAGTCATTACTTTATAAAGACTTGTTGGATCTTTTAGCTGCTTTTACTACATACATAATATACATAATTGGTAATTGAGAGTTATGGAAATATTTGGATTCAAATGAATAAGGGCCCAAAATACTGTCTTACATCATTCAGAATGGGTTGGCACATTTTTTCTGTGGGGCCAGATAGTAAAATTTTCTTGCATGCCGTGGGATTGCAACTACTCAACTCTGCCACTGTAGTACAAAAGCAGCCATAGATAATATGTAAATGAATACATAGCCATATTCAAAAAAACTTTACAAAAACAGGTTGCATGCCTTGGTTTGCCAACCATTGCTTTAGCACACCAATAAGGTCATATATAATAAACAAGTGAATTTGTTTATATGGGAATTATTTTTACATTTGAGTTGTGGTCTTATAAATCACATAGTAAATTTCACCAAAACTATGAACAGCCATAGGCTGAGCAGAACATAAAGGTGTGAGATAAAACAGGGCACATAGTGGGTAGTGTTTGTTGCAAGAGACCTTAAAAGTATCTGCCCTACAGGAAACATCCAGATCCTGCCTTTTCTCTGATTGTTTATTGAGCCCTGTCTTCCCATTTCTTACTGTTCTATGAGCCTGCCATTGGATCCTTGTTTACCTCCTCTTATCATGGTAATGGTATGGAAATTCTGTAACGCTAAATATTTGTGAAAACATCCTAAAGATCAAATTACATTTTAGTAAAACAAAAAGAGGAGTAAAACCAGGACTTGAGGTAATTTCATAGTTTTATGTTCCACAGAGTAGCATTAAATCACGCAGGGAATTTTAAGTTAGATGTTTAACTAATAATACATTTTATTTTAGGCTTACTTGAAAATGGAATTTAAAGAGGCAGTTACTGCAGTCATGAAGTACATTGAAACAACACCTCTTTTGGTAAACGGGAAAAATGTGAAAGTATGTGTTCCAGGAAAGAAAAAAGTACAGGTAAATTAGATTTAGATCTTGGATGTTTCACCACTGCTGTTGATTAGTTTGTTTTTTGCTTAAGTATGGCACATACAGAAAAATGCATAAAACATGTTTATGCAACAGATTGTATATGTATAAATGTCACTGAATAATGGGGATACATTCTGAGAAATATGTCATTCAGTGATTTCATTGTTATATGAACAGCATACACTTACACAGTCCTAGAGGATATAGCCTACTGTGCACATAAGCTATATGGTGTAGCCTATTGCTCCTGGATGACATATCTGTACAGCATTTAACGTACTGAATGCTGTAGGCAGTTGTAACACAATGGTAAATATTTGTGTATCTGAACTTAGAAAAGATACAGGAAAAATAAAATGTAAGAGATGAAAAATGGTACACCTGTATAGGGCATTTAGTGTAAATGGAGCTTATAGGACTGGAAATTGCTCTGGGTGAGTGAGTGAGTGGTAAGTGAATGTGAAGGCCTAGGACATTACTGTACACTATTATAGACTTTATGAACACCGTATACTCAGGCCACTAAATTTACTTAAAATTTTTACTTAAATTTTTCTTTAATCATAACCTTAGCTTACTATAACTTTTTTACTTTATGAACTTAAAATTTTTTTAAAATTTTCAACTCTTTTGTAATAACATTTAGCTTCTTCTGGAATACCTCTGGAACGACCTGCTTGAGGGTCTTCTTGAGGAGGTGTCACTCTTTTTCAGACATATGTCCATGATGGTTTGCGTGTTTTCTTTCTTTTTTCCGTCATAGATTTGCTCGTAAGCAGATAATTCACCATGAACATTCCTCTCTGTTCATGAAAACTTTTCAGTTTTGGGGTCCATGTTTTTAAACTTTTTAAGGAGCTTGTTGAATGCAAAAGCTTTTGCTAAACCCTTCACTATGAATTTTCTTGGGGGTTCTTATGGGACCAATGTTATATATGCAGTTGTCAATAACAACGGCCAGTATGTCATTATTTGGTACATGACTGTATGGCCTATACACAGTATTAAATGGCAAGAAAATGCTAAACAAAATTAGCAGATATCTGTGAAACCTCTACCTGGGTCATAAACCATAACCTTGATAACATTCTGGAAGCTTCTTGCATACTTCTTCTTCCAAATCCTTACAACCCTCTTTTCTGCCCTATCTTCACTTCAAATGCCATAGTCGAGTTTTTGCCTATTTTGAACTTTATGTAATTACAATCATGAAGTATATTTTTAGGGGACATTTTGCTTCCTTAAAAGTGTCAGTGTTTATGAGTTTAGTCTTTCTAGATCCTTTTCTATGCTTCAGTTTGTTTATATATCCGTAGAGAATTTCTTATAGAAGCAGTTTAAAATGTTCAGTACATTTTGCTGTGTGTGTGTGTGTGTGTATGTTCTTTCAATTTAATATTTTTATCTGCTGAAAAATATCTACTTTATAGGAACTTTGTAACATTTTTTCAATCAGTAATTTGATTTGGAAATCTAACCACATTAGTACATGTGGATTTTTCTCATTTTTTAAAAACTTCTGTGCAGTATTGCTTTGTATGAGTATATAAGTTATTTTACCAGTTCCTTATGGATTGATATTTAGAATATTTCAAAATACAGATTCATGTTTAGGTTATTTCTAATTTTTCACTACTATAGGACTTTAGCTAACTTCCTAGTGTATGACTTTCACAGGTCATTCTTACACATTTATGATAGTGTTTTTTAAGGTGATACCTACAGTGGAATTGCTGGGATATAGGATATACAGTAATAGATAATACCAGATCACCCATTAAGTAGCTATAATTTACAGTCTGATAATTTATGAGTGTAATAGTATTTCTGTGTTAACATCTTAATGTTTTCAGTTTTAAAATGGAGCATGTAAAAATGGTATCTAGTTTAAATTTGCATTTTCCAGACTCTTAGCGAACTCCAACGTCTTTTAATATAATTATAGGCTATTTCTATTCCAGTTTTACTGAGTCATATATATTTTTTCCCATTTTTCTGTTGAGTTGTCTTTTAAAAAAATTTCATCTGAAAGTATTCATTATCCTAGATACTCATTTTGTATTTTATATGAGAAGTATTTTTTTTCTAGTCCATTGGTTGTATGTATACATGTATAAAGTTTTTTATTTCAGTGTACTAAAGTTTATTGGGTTTTTTTTTTGCCTCTTACGGCTTTTGTTTTTGTTTTAAAAGACTTCTCTGTACCAGTGCCAAAAAGATGCTTCCGTTACTGTGTAAATGTATAATTTATGAGATAATGTGTGATTGGGATCAATATTATTTCCAAAAATATGTAGCCAGTTAGCCCATCACCATTTATGCCGTTTGTTTTTTCTCATTTATTTGAGAAGCTACCTTCATATGTATAAATTACCCAATTTACATAGCTCTATTTCAGACTGTTTTGTTAAACAGTCTGTTTATTTTTTGTGCCAGTACTATGCGATTTCAATTATAAATTTATAAAATTTATAATATTTGCCTGTATTTCTAGTAGAATCCTTTTTTGTTGTTCTTTCAATTTATTTAGCTTAATCTTGAACATTCACTTTTGCATATTAGTTTTAGAATTAGTTTAAGTTCTCTGAAAATTTTTATTGGGAATTTAATTGATAGTGTATTGAATTTGTATTAATGTTTTTATAGTATTATTTTTGTCCAGAAGCATGGCTTATCTCTCCATTTATTGGGATTTCATTTAGTGTCATTCAGCAAGTTTTATATTTTTATCTGTATGTTGTTGTACTTTTTGGAGGAGATGTTGAGTTTATTATTTGTATTTACTCGTATGTATCATAAATATTTAAATTGCTATTAGAGAAAGGCTCTCTTTCTTCCTCCTGTTTTTCGATTAGTTTCTTCTAGAGTAATCCATCATCCTAGTTTATATCTACTGCATGCCATCTATATATTCCCATTGTCCTGATTTGAATAATGAATTATATGGCAACCCTAGTCATTACCAATTTTATCATTTAGAATTTCTTTTCTTTTCAACCAGCAGAAACTTCACCAGCGTTTCTTAAACAAATAAGAGGTTTATTTACCTCACAATAGGAAATGTGTAGGTAGGTGGTCCATATCTGGTGTAGCAGCTCCATAATATCTCCAGGAACCCAGCCTTTTTTCTCTCCACTACCATTTTTAGCATTTATTTTTCATCCTTAGTTGTAGGTGGTTGTTGTGCTTTTATCTTCCAAGCAGAAAGAAAGGAATAAATATCAAGAGCAAAATGTGCTTTGATTTTTTTCCCCCCCTGGGGAGAATGAGTTTCCCAGAACTTTTATCCTCATTTGATTTATTAGAACTGTGATACAGTTGTGACCTCTAGTTGCAGAGGAGGTTAAGGGGAAGCAAGATTTGAATGCGTAATTTAAGAACTTAAACTTTATCCTTTAGACAGTTAAATATTATTTTGAATTAACGGATTAGAAAGATTCATCTGAAAGAATGACTTAGTTAGGCAAATGACTCCAGAGGCGAAGAAAGCTTAGCAAATTGACTAAAGAAGAGAAGAGAGAAGATCACTGAAGTCCTGTTAGAAGACTCGTCTAGGCATCTCCCTATTGAGATAATAGAAAAGTTTTAGATAGATTAGTAACCTTGAGAGTAGAAAGGAGAGACAGCTTATATTAGTGACACTCGAGCAAGACCTGGCTGATCATTAAATTTGGAGAACTGGGAAGAAGCTCAGTTGTCTTTAATTTTGAAAAGTTTAATCTGGGAAAATAAGTAAGGATACTCATTTTATAAGGATAACACCCTATACATTAAGGATGTTAGAGTATTTCAGGTAGATTAAAATAATTCTCTTGGACAACTTTTTGATAAGATTGGTAAAGAAGCAACATAAGTCCAAGAACCCAACCATAATTACTATCCTAATTTTCATAAAAATGAATAATGGAAAGTATCAGCCCTGGAAACTAGAAAACATACCATCTCCCTTTCAAATTAATTGATAATCTTCAACTAAATATAGTTTGGATGGTGCTGAATTGAAGGAGCCTTGGAGGCTAACTCAAGACTCCTTGTTTTGATAAAACAGCAGCCTTAAGGATTGACTGGAGAGGGACCCCCAACAAAATTCTGGTTATGGCTTCTTTATATTAGAAGTATGAGGACATCTTTTTTGGCCTGTTACCACAGGAGAAGACATCAAGTTTTCTTGCCAGAGCAAGTCAAAAAGAGACTGTAAGTCCAAATAAGAGAAAGGAAGGGGAGTGCTGTAGCTTCCTTGGTCCAGCTCTTAATTTTGGCATGAATATTCAAAACGAAGAAAAAAGTTTTCTGCCCACGTTTGATGCTTTATATTAGAACTCCCCTTGACTCTGGCTGTGATTCACAGAACATTCTCTCCATTTTGCTGCTGATTGGAATCAATAAAGAAATGTTACAGAAAAGGTAAAACTTTTTTACATCTCTGTAATTAAACCTGAAGAATCAACTCTGACAGAAACTCAATTACCTTTCTGTTAATTATAAGCCAGCCTAGACCTCAATAGTTAGCACCGATTCTTAATACTCTTTTTGAGCTACTTTCACCACCACTACTACCAATAATATGATGAAAGCAAGCATTCTTTTTTCTCAGAGAAAAGGACACATGTCAATACTCACAAAAACTTTCCTTAAGCAAGAACCCTTGATCTAGAAAAAGTATAATCAGATTTTTCAATAGATAGCAAACTGTTGCAACTATGAAATATTGCTGCAACTCAACCCTCTGCAAGAACAAAAAAAAAAAATGAAATAAAAAACTCAAGACTTTAAAAGGTGCCATTTAGTATTTTCAGTAAGATTCATGGGGACATTACATCTAAAACCTAGAGCAGCAAGCAGTCAACTAAGTTCCAAGAGGAATGCATGGAAATGAAAAAGCAGTGCTGGGAAGCAGTGAACACTTGTTTGAGCATTATAGGTAATCTAATCAGTAACAAGGAGATATAACCCAAAAAAGATACAATCAGAATTCAAATGAGAATTTAATTTCATTCGAATTTAAAACCTATTTTTCAAACATCTGTTATGTGTCAGGCATTGTATCTGCAAAAGATGCAGTGGTGAACAAGACAGATGTGCTTCCAACTTTCTTGGAGCTTATGGTCTATTTAGTCAGTAAGTGAAGGTTAAAGAGCCTAAAATTAAGAAGCGGAAAGGCATGTGGAAACATCTTGGAGACCCAGTCTGCATTTAACTAGAATTCCGGAAAGAAGATACCAGTTAAATACTGGTGAAGATTTTAAATTTCATATGGAGGGGCAACTTACAGTCATCCAGCCAGAAACGGTGTAACTATGAAAAGAAATAGTTGAGCCTTAGATAGCAGAGCATTGCATTTTCAAGTTTGAGTGGATTAAAAGAACAATATTGATTCATATTGTAGTTGAATACATCTATTTCAAGTCAAATACTAAATTCTTTGCTAGGACAGTATTCTCAGACATGCATGGACTCAAAGTATTTCATCTATATATTTTTCCTAAAATATTGCTATAAAAATGAAGAACATTAAGAAATAGAGACGTTGTAATATAAAATTATTGGTAATGAGCAATGAAACCATTTAAATTGTAAAATCTAAATCATTTTTATGAAATAACAAATTGCAGAAAATATTACTTAAAATTATTTAAAAAATAATTTTGTCTAAAATATATCATCAAAAATTGGTATGTAGCTAAGGAGTGAGGGCTAAATTTTTAAATTTGTACAGAGGAAATCAGTAGTTTCAAATTTCTTTTAAAATTGAAGATAACTAATAGAATAAAAGTAGGAGAATGAGTGTCCTTTGAGTCATTGGGTGAGGGAGGTGTTTGGGATAAAATCTTATATAGTACAAAAAGAAATGTCTAGGATGCCCCCAAAACAGAAATTTATAAAATAACATGACAATTATGAAGTTCAGATCAATTTAACACATGTTTATTTACTTAATGTACACTAAGTGCCAACCATGATTTTAAGTACTGCAGATAGTAGTGAATAAAACAATGTCTCTGTTCTCACCGACTTTAATAACTTAAAAAGGTAGGGAGAGAAAGACCATAAGGAAATTAAAACAAGTGCTGTGAAGAAAAATAACAGAAAAGAGAAATAGAAGTTCTCTTGTTGGGGAACTTTCAATAAGGTAGTTACAGAAAGGCTCATTGGAAAGGTGGTTTTAGAGCAAACACTTGAAAGAGGTAAGGGAGCAAGCCATTCCCTGGGTTGAGAGCATTCCAGACAGAAGGAACAACAGCTGCAAAAGACTTTTAAGATTCACACTTAAGTAGCTTGTTTGAGGAGGATAAAAGATGCTTGGGTTGGAAGCAGAGAAGTATAGGAAGAGATATTTGGTGATTTGGGGCTAGAGGATGGGTGGAACGTGTGGTGTAAACTCTTATAGGCCATTGTAAGTATTGCCTTTTTTTTTTTTTTTTTGGTGTGATGAAAGGATTTTGAATCTGAGAATGGCAATATCTGTGTTGAGAATAGCGTAGGGATGGGCAAAAAGGCAAGGACAGAAGCAGAGAGACTGTTAAAGAGGCTATTGTAATCAAAGCAGATAGTGGTAGATTGGACCAGTGTGATACCAATTAGACATCTGAAATGTCAAGGATATTTGAAATAATGTTTTTGAAAGATAGTGATAAAATCTAGATGAATGGTAAAAGGTGGGATGTAAAATTATGCCATATGATCACAAATTTAAGAAAATGTTTTAATTTGTATAAATAGAAAAAGGTAATATACATTGATATTTTAGGGTAGGAAGATTTTAGATGTATTTTGTATGCTTTTCTGTATTTTCAAAAGTTTTTTATAACTTGAGAAGAAACTAAAATTTTCTTAAATAATTATCCTTCATAGAACAAAGAAGTGAAGAAAAAGACAACAGATTCAAAGAAAACATCTGCATCCGCTTTAAAGTAAGTGATTCTGTAATTTCATATATGAGAATTTGCAATTTAAATTTTTTTTACTTTTACAACTGCATTTTTAACGTTTTATTACTGTTTTTAGTTTAAATGGGACAACGTTGAGACTGAATTGTTTTAAAGTTTTTTAGATTTAAGCTTTGCATATTTAGAAGTTTTAAAACTTAGAATTTGCTAATTTTTTATTCTTTTAAATAGAAAAGATACAGATGCTTCCAAAACTGTTGATACTGTGACTTCAGCTTCTGCTCGTAAGTTGTTAACTTTTAATACTCCTCCAAATGAGTATATTTTGTCAGTTCACTAGAAATTTCTTGCAAGATATGCCAGGAAAACATTATTTATTGGGCTTTAGTAGTTGGAGCCCACATTGGTCCCTGTATTAAGCTATTTACTATTATGTAATTATGAGACCTTTTTTGGAATAAATAAAAGGACTTGATGAGATAATGTATGAAGAATACATAGTTATATAGTTAATAGCTGTTTAGGTTAGTTTTGCAATACCTCCTTTCATCCTCCCCCTAATAAACCCACAGGACAAAGCATAAAGTATGTTAAGATTGCTTATCTGTTCCCCTTTGTTTTTGAAAGTCTGCCGAAAGCTAAAAAGTAAGCAACAAAGACTAAGCAGAAATGTAGATGTTATTATAGTCATGTGCTAAAAGTTTTTTCTTTATATTCAAGAAAGCACTTCAGCTAGGTGAATTGTACATACAATTTTAATAAACTTGGTTACTTTTTTTCTCAGTCTATTTTGGATTGGGAAAATGGAGACAAAGAAGTTAGTGCCAAAACATATACCCTTGATTCTAGTAAGAATAAACAACTTGATAGTGAAGGACAAGACAGAAGAGCCAAAAGGAAGTAGGCATAAAATATATTCAAAAAGTTAAATTGTGTGTTGTATGTTCTCTTTTGGAAAGGCAGATGTATATATAGTGTGTTCTGGATTTCTGTTCAGAATAGAGTAAGAGTTTTGGGTACTAAAACTAGTATTCTGGTGACTGGAAAATTCAATTGTATAGAATATCTCGTTTTTTGGTAATGTTTAGTTGGATAGCATACTGAAGTTATTGGAAGTTAGTGAAGTTAGTTCAGAATGCTTTCTGGAGCACAGTAAATTTTTGACTAAAGTTTTAAATGTGAACAGGTAAACAGATAATATATAGAAGCAAAAGATACTTTAGTTAGAGATGAGATAACAAAGGTAACAATTGAGGAATCACTTTGTAGAAGGCCTTGAAGAATTGGGCTAGGAAATTTTTTTATTTGACCTCATCAGTAGCTTTTCTTAAAATGTGTCCTGCGAAAGACTAATTCCTGGGAGATGTTTTAGATGAGATAATGTTTGGGATATGTATTATAGGTGTTCCTCTTTTCTTTTCCTTTCCTTCTCTTTTCTTTTTTATTTCCTTTCCTTTTCCTTTTCCTTTCTCTCTCTTTCTCTCTTTTTCTTTCTTTTCTTTTTTTTCTTTTTTTTATTTCTGTTGTTTTTGTATTTGATTTCTTTCCTTCCTTCCCTCCCTTCCTTCCTTCCTTCCTTCCTTCCTTCCTTCCTTCCTTCCTTCCTTCCTCCCTCCCTCCCTCCCTTCCTCCCTCTTTAAAAAAATCCACAAAACATTCATTTTATGAAGTCCTACAGGAAAGAAACTTATTTAGCTTTGTTTAACCCACTGTTTTCTAAGTTTGGCTAAGGTGTACTCCATTTTTTCTGTGTAAGACCTAGTAATAATTGTACGGACTCTGGGAAATTACCATAGAGAATAAAGAACCAATAGTTGTTTAGGATTCTTACATAGATTGGATAAATGGAGATTGAAAAATCCTATTGAGAAAACATAGTTGGGGTTCACTTTGAGGTAATTAGAATCTAATATAAAAAGGTTAATTTAAACGGTGAAGGATGGTAAAATCTGAACTTTCGTATGTAAAATTTTTTAGTGAATAAAATATAAAACTTAAAAATACTTTTAAATCTCAAGGTTTCAGGCTGGATGGATTTTACTAGACGAGTGTAGTAATATTGATTATAAAGGAAAACTTAGATGCAGTGATTTCTTTGAATTTGGGGAAAACCATGAACTTAGAGTTCACCAGTGCTGAATTTCAGCTATCACAGATTATTCATTGGAACTATCCTTTAGTCAGCTAATCACATAGCTTTTTTTTTTTTTTTTTTTTGTCGTTAAGTTTAAAGTATAAATTTTGGTAATTATCCAAGCATAATAAAAGTAGCGAACCAAGGGAAAAGTGCTTGAGGCTGAGTGCTTCCTTCCTTCCCGTATAAATGTGAAAAGAGAGAAAAGAGCCTGTGTGTAAGTAAGACTGAGAAAGTGTCAGGCGAGGAAAATAAGGATGCATGATATCTTTTTGAGATCAGCAATATCAGTGAATAGTGATAGGAAATTAATTAGGGCAATTTTAAAGAGAACTTTGGTTATAAGCATTACTCAAAAAGGGTGAAGAGAGCTACAGGTAGGAAGCAAAAGCATAATTTGATCAGAAAGGGGAACTTTAGAACTCTTAACCAATACTAGTTAAAAAGAAATTAAAGTGTTTATTGAGCACCTATTATGCACCCATCATGGGAGGAACTTTTTAAAGTGTGAGGATACTACCAAATAGAAAAGATCTCTATTTCCAAGTAGCTTACATTTTAACTTGAGCTAACAAATAATAAATATCGAAAAGTGCTATGACAGGGTAAAGGTGATGCAGGGTTAAAGTTTGATTTAGAGTTAGAATTTAGTATGTAGAATAAGGTAATGATTTGTTAAGTAGAAGGATCTACTAAGGGCATAATCTGTGCTAGAAGACAGAAAAGAAGGGGAAAAAACCTGCTATGGGTTTTACTGTTTATACTGGGCATTTTATCTCAATCTCTCAGCCCACCTTGTGAGTATATTTAATATTGTTTTCATATTATAGATTAGGAAACAGATTCAGAGATAAATGACTTGAGGTCACATGGAAGAGTTAGGATTCAAACATACTAAACTACCTCCCTGAGGATGAAACTCTTTTTTGATCACTCTTCTTTTATCTTCCTTTAATGATTTTCTTAAAAGTCTGTTTCTCTTCTCATGTCATACTTGTTTTCCTGGTTGATTTTTTTTTTCTTGCAGCAGTGATACCTCCCATACAGATATAAACCTCCTCTTCATCTCTCAAGTTTACTTCTCTCATTTACTTACATCATCTAATAATCACTAGTCATCCAGTGTAGAAATCCATTAATAATGCTTTACCTTGTTTCTATCCCACTCAGTTCAAACTTAAATAACATTCTTTTTCTTTTCATCCAACCACTGGCTGATTCAAATTAGTTTTCAAATCTACCTCAAACTTTTCTTCTTTGCTCCATCACACCTGTTTTAAACCAGACTTACATTTAAAAATTTGAAGATAGCTTTCTGATTGGTGTGTTTTTATTCCACTCTTTGCACTATTATTTACCTGTTGCCTTGAGGCCTCTTTAAAGCAGATATGATCATTTCACATCTGTAGCATTTCATAAATGATATTTTTACCCTATGGCCTAAGATTGTTTTTTCAATCTCTTATCTGTCACTCAACTGTATATTATGTTCCAGCTACTCAGCTTTGTTATTTTCCAGCTTTGTTATGTTATTATATTTCTCAGCTCTGTGCTGTCCATTTATGTGGAAATGTCTGAATTCCAGCTAAGTTTACTTGGTAAGCACTTACTAAGTACTTATTTAGTAGGTACCAGGCCTTGTGCAAAGTACAAAGTCAGGATTCCTTTTTTGGGTTGGAAGCAGGGCAAATCCTAATTTGTCCTTTTTAAGACTAATCTCAGATGAAAGTTCTTTGTGAAACTTCTTGATTATACCTTCCCTGACTCTCCAAGGCAGTGAGAAGCTCCTAGCTCCCTTTTAGTAATACTATGTATATTAAATCACTTAGTATTAATAGTTTATTAATAAGTTTATCACTGTTAACTTCACTTGTTGAGGGACTCTTCACAGTTTTATTTTTCATCTCTTAATCGCTAAATAGCTAATGTAGCATAAGGGTTAATGAGTGAATGTTTGCAGGAGGAAGAGTGAAGAAGAGTATAGGAATACTCAAACAAATTTTGTATTAATTGAACCCATAGAAAAATACATAGTGAACCAAAATTTTTGTCCTTATCCTTGATTTAATGATTTTTTTCAGTAAGATTTTATTGGTTTCCTTTTTTATTAGGTAAATGTACCTTTTTTTCTTTTCAGTTCCTAGATGAAAATCACTATCTCTTTGTCAGCTATTTTCTTAATAAAAGTACTCTGCCCAAATAGTTCCCACATGTGAATTTCATCAAACCTTTAAGAAAGAAATAACACTAGCTCTGTTTCAACTGTTTCATAGCATTCAGAAGAAAGAAGAACTTTATTTAAAAGGGAGGGGTTATGGTGAGAAGGGAAACAAGAAGAAGAAAACAGGCTAATACTGATTCTGACAAAGACACAGCAAACCTATCCAAAAGGCGAAAATAGGAACATAGTAACACCAAATGCTGTTGATAATGTGCAGAAACTCATACATTGATTGTGAGAATGTAGAATGGTACAGCCATTCTGGAAAAGAGTGACAGTTTTGTTTTGTTTTTTTTTTTTTTTAAACAAAACTAAACATGTGCTTACCACAGGACCCAGCATTTACTCTTGGGCATTTATTCCACACAGATGAATTACATTCACTTAAAACCTATTCACACAGAAACCATTATTCATAAGAGCTAAAAACTGGGAACAACCCAAATGTCCTCCAGTGGGCAAATGGTTAAAACATGACATGTCCTTCACATGGAACACTACTCAGCAATAAAAAGGAATGAATTATTGATACACACAGCAACTTGGATGGATCATAGAGGAATTATACTGAGTGAAAAACAAATCGACCTAATGTCAACTCTAACTGAAAAATAAAAGTTAAAAAAAAATCAAAAATTATAAATCAAAAAAACTATACTGTAAGCTTCCATTTACGTAACATTCTTGAAATGATAAAATTATAGAGGTAGAGAACACTAGTCATTGCAGGGGAAGGAAGGAGCTGGCTGCTGCTATAAATGGGTAGTAGGAAAGATCCTTGTGATGGAACTGTTCCGTATTTTGACTGGTGTTCAAGTATATGACAAACTTTCATAAAACTACACATTAGTACATGTAAAACTGGGGGAATTTGAATATTGGTAGATGGTGTCAATATTAATTTCCTATTTGTGATATTGTACTACAGTTATGCAAAATATTATCATTAGGGGAAACTGGGTGAAGGGTATATGGGATCTCCCAGTTCTTAAAACTGTGAATTTACCATTTTCTCAAATGTATAAGTTAAAGGAAAATCTTTAAATGTTGATAAAGCTATTATAGTAAATTAAAACTGTAGAACAATTTCACTTATGAATATACTGATGTAACATTTTTAAGTAAAATATTAGCATATAGTAACTGACAGCACATTAAAGGAATAATATATTGTGCCCAAGAGGGTCATATCAGAAATATAAAGATCCTTCAAAATTAGTCTGTTCATCTAGATAAATGCTGCAATAGATATTTGGTAAAGTTCAACATTCACTCCTAGCATTAAAAATAATTCTTAAAGTAGACAACTACCTTCTTAATATGACAGTATGTGTATAACTATACCTTTATTCATATACATAGAAAACATGCACACCAAGTCAGAAGCCAGCATGTACTTAATAGTGAAACAGTAGAAACATTTTCATTAAGGCTGGGAACAAAACAAGGAATACTCACCATCACTTCTATGAGTTTATATAAATATTCTAAAACTAATAGCTACTAGCCAGTGCACTATAAGTCAAGAGGAATAAAAATTGAAAAGTAGGATACAACATTATTATTTGCAATTAAATATGTATGATGGGAAACTCAGGTATGTATGGAAGAACCAAGAGAATATTATAATGCTGTTAAATATAATTAGCCATCTGCTCTAAATTACTACAAGATTTCAAATGCTTTGTTATATAAAAAGAATAACTAATATGTAATTTATTAAAATATTCCTTTTATAATAATAAAGTAAAGCTGTGAAAAGAAAACTTTAAAATACTACTAAGAGGCATAAAATAAGATGAGAGATTAAATGAGAAAACAGCTCATTTTTGGATGAAAGCCCTACCATTACAATCTGCCTTTTTTCTTAAAAAGATTATGAACTTAGTAAAACATCAATAAGATTTTTTATCATATAAGCTGATTTTACAGTTTATACATGAAAAAATTAGCAGAATAGACAGGAAAATTCTGCAAAGGAAGAGTAATTAGGACAGACTAGCATTAATAGGTATTAAAATATATTACAAAGTTAAAGATTCAGTATAGTTTCATATACTTGGACAAATAAAAGATCAGTAAGCAGAAGAAATATTGCCCCAAATCTACAGAATATCAGTTAATCATTATGGTAATGTTTCATATTAGTGAGAAAAAGATCAATTATTCATTAGCCACTTAGTAAAAGTAAAGCATTTATAATATCAAAATAAATTACAGATGGATTAAAGATTTAATGTTATACATAAGATAGTAAAGTATCGAAAGAAAATGTGAAGGGTTTTTTTTGTTTGTTTAAGTTTCAGAGTGAGGACATCCTCTATCAGGAAGACATTTGACTATAAAGTTTTTGTATGAGTATTTCGTATAACTTTTAAAAATTGTTAATGTGTAATATAGACTAATTTTCCTAATATATGAAGACCTCTAATAAATAAAACCTCACAATCTAAAAGATAAATTGGCAAATATTAAGACTAGGCATATCACAGAGAGAGAAATTACACATATGAAAATTGACAAGACTTTACTTGTAATTAAAAATTAAGTCTTAGCAGTTTCTCAGATTGGAGTGATTAATAACTTCTGTCACTGTGTGTGAAAATAGGAAAGCCCCGCTCTTACATATTATTGAGAAGAATAATTGGTACAACCTTTCTGAAGGACAATTTAATGTTAATTGTTAAAATTTATATCTATGCCTTTTGAGTCAGCAAATCTATGTCCACGAATTTACCTATAGTTACAAAGATGAGTATAGAGGTGTTTTTTGCAGTGTTTTTTCAAAATCATTGCCAAGTTAGCTCTTTTCTAAATCTAAATGATGTTGTTTGTAATGTGTTATTGATATATTTTTCTTGTTATTTTAGCCAAAACTGGACAATCCAAGACATCTGTAGCCAAAGTGAATAAATCTTCAGGTATGTGTTTTTTGTTTTTGTTTTTGTTTTTTTAATTAGGACTTTAGACATTAGTTATCTTAAAATTACATAAATATGTAGCAGCAGTGTTGGATTTCATGTGACATGGTATACTGAGTGTATCCTAACTAATCTTTGAAATTTATAGTCATCTAAAAATTGTAAGAAGGGAGATTTAGTAAATAATGTTCTTTGTTGTAATTGTCAAACTAAGATAATTTAACTGGGAAACTATTTCTCATGATGGATATCAGAGATATTTCCCTCTTTCTCTTTTATTGAGGTCTTCTACCTGTTTACTTTCATTTATAAAATAGTCCTGATAAATTTATAGCAAATTATTTTCTCTGCAGTTTTTATGGGCTATAGGGGTTTTAAAGTAATTTTTAGTTTTCTCTTTGGCATTATCTTCCTTTCTGTTTTCCCTTCTATTTCTTTTAAGTTCCTGTTAAATCAGGGTCATCTTCTTAAGTGGATAGAGATCAGTGCATTAAATTCTTCCCTATAATGGTAGAAAGGGAAGGAAGCTGAACCAGCAAATACCATTGTTAGTGACAGAGCCAGAATTTTCAAACAATAGTTTCTTAGAAGCAGTAATCTGATCAGGGAATCAGGGATGGCTAGAAAACTTGTTTTGAAGATACATTTATTTAGCAAAACTTGTTTTGAAGATACATTTATTTATTTGAAGATACATTTATTTATCTTCTTATTGAAGATACATTTATTTGAAGATACATTTATTTAGTTTGATACTACTTTAATAATAAGTTTATAGGAGTCACTGGAGATTTGAGGGCTAAAGCCTCTAGCCACCCTTTCAACTGTTGAAAATCAATTGTAGATATTTTTTTCCTTCAGTTCTGGTCCTCAGCTAGAAGTAGTAAAATGAATTTATTTGTGATAGTAACACAGAGATAAGGGGAAAAAATGATTTAAAGGTTCATTGGAACTCAGGCTACTGCAATATGACAAAACTCGGGGATGACTAAGAAATGACTAGTTAAGTGACAAGTTATAAGGATTGGTATTACTCTTTTTTGAGCAAAGATTAGGATCTGTCTTTGGATATAAATGGTGGATTTTAAAATATTTCAGTTGATTTTTTGCATATCAGTAATTCTTTTTGTTAGTATGATAACTTTTCAAAGCATGATCATATTCTCACAGGGTCCCCATTAGATAATTATGGCAATTACTACCTTTGTTTATAAATGGGGAAACGTGCACAGAAATCCATTAATGCCCCACGTATTCACAACTTCGAATTCAACTTGACCTACTGGCTTCTCTTCCAGGCTTTTTCCTCATACTAACTTGCTAGTTGTTACAAATCCTATTTTCAGAGCTAACTCTCTTGTTCTCTGAATGGAAAGTGTTTTGGCCTCTGGTGATCTCTTCAGTGACACTTCGATGATTACAGTCTTTATAAACATCATCTTGGAAAATAAGTACCAGTAATATATGCATATGTAAAAAGAAGGGTCAGAGCTACATAAGTAGTCCTTTTTGGATAAGGCCCACTAGGAATGAGTCAAAGCAATCTTTATGTGGCCTGACCATGATGTAGGTGTTCTTGAACTCTTTCAGTCAGCAGGGAGCCAAGACAGCATGGTCTGGGAGACCCTAGATAGTACTGCTTTTGGAACCATTAAAAGCTGCATGGGATTATTTTTATATCCATGCAGTTAGTAATTTTGCTTCTAGTTGATCCACACATTCAGAAATTTACTTAACTTACCTGAATGCCATTTTTAAGTACTGCAGTGGGGAAGTGAATTCTTATTTCAGTCATGTTTTTCTTCCTGAAGACACATTGCTAAATTTTGAAAATGACTTGTGCAGCTTTAAGATGATAGCATTTTATGTTTAGAATAAAACATAGCCTGACACTCTTTTTTGTTTCAAGTTAGCTTGTCACTCTTAAATTCTTTGTGAGGTTGTTTGGGGATTGTTGATAATAGTTAAATAAATTTTAACTACAGCTTTTGTGATTTAGGGAAATCGGCAGGTTCTGTAAAATCTGTTGTAACAGTAGCTGCTAAAGGTAATAAAGCTTCAATCAAAACAGGTAAGATTGTCGAGAAGGTGAGGTTTTATTAAGTATATTCTTAATTTGTCTTTAAAAAATATAATAAATATGTCAAAGATAAGCTTTAAATTTATATAATTTGTAGTACCTAATAACATCTTAGAAAGTTTAGTAGATACTTCTTTGATATTTAAAACCTGAAACATCCAGGACTTTCTGGTTCTTTGGATTCAACAGGACTACCACTGTGGATACCTTTTTATGTTGGAAACATTTTTGGCAGCTATATAATGAATCCCAGGCTGCTCTGCCACTTCCCCCCTACAAATTGTTGTCTTTATTTTCCTCATTTTTTTAGTGTTGTCACTTCATATTACCTTCCCTAGCTTGTACAATTCTTCTGGTTTGTTACTATAAAGAAGATTTTTCCTTTCTGTGTTAAAAGAATGTATTTCCTTTCTAAAGAAATGAAACACTATTTTAAATAAATATGACATGTTAACAGTAACATTATCTGTTTATATTACTATTTTTTCAATACACAAATGTAATTTTAAAGAACCTTTGTAGAAATTATAAAATAAGATATTTTTGTGTGTGATTATAATGTGCTTCTGTCACTTGAGGATTAAATTTTTGTCTCATGAATAGCCATCAACAAAAATTGTATCTCAGTTTAAATTTGTTTTTAATCTTATTGGTAAATAGATATTAAAATAAGTGGAAATAAATCTTTAGGAAGATTTATTCGACTTTATAATAAAGTCGAACTACTTGATTACTAATATATTAGTATGGAACATACCAAATGACCAAACAAACCCTTTAGAGTAATGGTTCAATTTTACTTTTAACAGGAAAATCTATTGGAAAGAAGTCTCTAGATGTCAAAAAGGCAGGCGTTGTCAAAAACAAAGATACCAGTAAACCTGTGGCTGTACTGGGTAAGCTGGAAATGCTGTCATTTAATGCCTTTTTTTTTTTTTTCCATTAGATCATCTCGGTGTACTTTTGAGGTATATTTTGAAATTATTGCTTAGAAGTCTTCAAAGAGATTATTTTATTTTTCAAAGAGAAACTTGTATTAGCTTTGACTTAAATCAGGTCAGCCTAAGGAGACTTGAAGTGACAAAATAAACTAGCTTAAGTTTCTGTTTTAGATTCATTAGTTTAATTATATTAGTGTGTTTTTTAAGACTATTAAAGCAGACTATTTCATGCAGCAAACTCTGAAATAAAGACCGGTGGGGAAGTCAAAGCCACTGAAAATAATGCTAAAGAAACTATTTCAGGTAGGCCAATAGAAGTTTTATTTTGTTATGTTTAAATATGTAAAATTAAAATTTTAAGAAAATATTTAATTTTATGTGTCGTGTGTGTGTGTGTGTGTGTGAGAGAGAGAGAGAGAGAGAGAGAGAGAGAGAGAGAGAGAGTGTGTGTGTGTGTGTGTGTGTGTGTGTGTGTGTGTGTGTGAGTGAGTGAGAGATACCAAGGTCATGCCTAAGTGAAATTAAGACTATCATTCAGATATTGGTCCTCTCTCTTGATTTTGTTCTCAGAAGGAGTACAACTAAATGTATTATTTAAAGGTCACTGTTACTTCTGTAGCTATTTCTTACTTAAATTCTCTATCCTTGTCAGTTGTATACATTTTCATGTAGTTACTATTTAATACATTGTGGGATCTTGATAAATAAAATAAGTCTGCATGAATTTATATTTCGTTTTGTGTCTTAAGAAGCTGTTTTGGTGGCCACAGAAAATGAAACGATTAACAAGGTCAGTTTTTATATTTTGCTAATTTTTTTAAAACTTGAGAAACTTTGACACAACTTTTTTTTAAACTATAAACCCATGTAAAAAATGTATGGGATTTGGCATCATGAAAAACCCCATTTATTTGTGACTTTTAAAATATGGTTGGAGTTCAAGAACCTTGAGCTGCAGGGAAGTCATAAATATTTAGGAACAGAATACTATAAATGTACATATTTTTGAAGATTACTTTTCACTGAGAACAAAATATTAGGCCAAAGTATATGGCTTTTTGAGTAGACAACAAGCTGTCAAATTAGAACCAGTAGAATTTTGTGAAACCTTTTTTCTTTTCCCTAGAGGCAAATGAGAGACATTTTGATATTTAGAATACCAGTTTTTCTTTGTATTTTTAGAGGAGCGAGTGGGGTTTGCAGTTTTATTTGAAGGACATAAAGTCTACTTTATTGTTTTCCCATGGCTATATCTGTCATTATGAGTATATTAAATCTCATTAATTTAGATTTTACTGGTTAAGATCTTCAGATCATTCAGGTGCTAAGCATAAGTTTTCTTTTGACTAGTAGATCCATTTTCCAAGTAGTATGTCTTACTTCCTATTTTGTTTTAGGAAGAATATTTTAAAGCACTAATACATTATTTTAGATTCACTTAAAGCACTTAAGAAGGAGCCATTTATGATCACAATTGATGTACTAGTTAAAATCATTCTCAACTGGTTTATGAAAATTATAACTTCCGCCTTTTTATCAAAATAAAAGTCACAACTTGCCAAATTTACTGTTGTATACCTTTGGGAATTTCCCAACATCAACTAAAGGAAAAATTGGCATTGACGAGAGTCATCTTGAAAAATAAAATAGATCTGAGAGAAGAGAATGCAGAAATGAAAGTATTTACTTTATAGTGGAGATTGGGTTATGGGGTAAGGATCCTAAGAGACTAGGTTAGCTTTTTTATATTGCCTAAAAGTGATTATTTTATTTATTAAGATAAAGGGATATGTACTGATTTGGAGCTTAAGAATGTTAGCATTTTAAGGCACTGAAATGTCAACAGTATGTGAAAAGGAGGAGACAGGCAAACTTGTGTTTTTTAACCCTATTTTTAAACAGTGGTTGAAAAAGAGAATGAAAGACACTTGACTAAATGACAGGTAGTATGACTGAAATTATTCTGTGTACTTGAAGAGAGGAAATTTGCACTTTGTTTTGTTTTTAATTTGAGATTCAGACCAGCCTCAGCCTTCCAATTTAATATTAAATGCAATTTAAATACATTATGATCTGCAGCGTAAGCTTAAGTAAATGTAAAAGCAGTTAAAGAAATTTTAATGTCAATTCTTAAATTTGTTTTGAAGGAAACAGAGGAAATGTGTGTGGTACTTATTTCTAATTTGCCAAATAAAGGAGATTCTATAGAAGAAGTTTACAACCTAGTAAAACCGTTTGGGGGTATAAAAGATGTTTTGATTTTATCATCTCATGAAAAGGTGAGTTGCTAATAGCTGTTCTTCTCTGCAGGCACATTTTGAAAAACATTAAATTCACAAAGGGTTTAAAAATAGCACCTCAGAATAATTAAGCTGTTTTAAGCTAAGGAATTTTTAAAATATAGCACTCAGATATCCTTTATTTTGTAGTCTTCTAATCAGAATGACTTACTAATGTGTCAAAGTTTTGCTCCAAATTTTAATTAAACAAAGTGTTTTCCATCTTTAATATGTCAATACAAAGTTTTTTAAATGACCTATGAAGTTCTGTAGAGCACTTTTTTACTGTAATTTCTGCTGTTTTACCGATGGTATTCACATGGAAAGTAACCGTTTTCAGACTCAAACTAATGTCATCAGTACTTAGAACAGTCTTGGTTTATTTACATGTATAAGTGTTCTATAATAAGTATGTATTTTTTGTAATTTTAAAACAAAAGAAAATGTATTGTTAACGAACTAGTGTGGAAGGTATTTTACAGAAGATGAGATTACAGGAAAGTTTAAATAGTGGAAATGACAGGAGAGTGGCGGGAGGTTGTATTCTTAAAATAGAAAATTGTTGGCGATCACTAGAGATCTTTGAGAGTAGAGTAGGATATGTGTTTGATAGTAATCGAAGTCATTGTGCTTAAACAGTAGAAGAGGAAGTTAGTGTGAGTTATGCAGTTTCGCATTATGTTAAAAGTAGATTATTTGAATGCATAACTTTGTAAATATACTAAAAACCTTCGAATTGTACACTTAAACAGGTGCACCTGATGTATAAATTATATTTCAGTAAAGCTGTTAAAAGGCAGATTATTTCCAATGTTTAGAGACAGACAAGAATAAAAAGGATTGCATTTTTTTAATATAAAATATTTTTTATGTGACAGTACATCAAAATAAAAAAAAATTGTAGGAATCTGGGAACAAGTAATTCAAATCATACTTTATATCATTTATCAAAGTGTGTGTGTATTTGTTTGTGTAGGTAGACTAAGTGGAAAATCCAAATACAGAAAATATAAATTATTATCTGTCCAGTTTTGATTAGAGTTGAGTAGATTTATTAACTATTTGGAGATTTAATACTTTACTAGATATTTGGGAAAATATCATTTAATTATATAAACATTTTAAACATTTGTAAACTTAACATGAAAACAAAATGGAAATAAAATATTTGTGTAAAATGTGAAGGCATTTATCTCCACATCATGCTATAAGATACTTGAAATTTCAGTAAATAAATGGAAAATGACATAAAGATAATTCATTTTTCAAAAGGAGAACTATAAACAAATATGGAAGAGTTCCATCTCATTAACTGTCAAACCTCTTTGCTTACCCAGGTATGAAAATTAAAAACAAAATGTATGGAGCTACAATTTTACACCTATGAAAACAGCAAAACGAAAAATAACTTGACAGTCATTTCACCTTTCTGTGGTTCTTTCATCTTATATTGCTCATGTTTTATTGATCATTAAGTTTATTACATAACAAATTTTCGTTAAATATCTGCTACATGCTAGACACCGCTCCAAGTACTAAGTGATAAGATTTTCCTTAAGGTCATTTACTAGAATGTCCTCCTATTTTTCTCTTTAGTGTTGCCTTATGAGTTCAGTTGTTTATTATTTTTTGCTCATGATTGTAATATTCTGAATCTTTTGGCTTCATCTTTCAGAGGAACACTTTTTTTAATCTTAAAAATATTTACTGTTATTCATTTGACTCTTAAGTATTAAATCTTTTCAAGAAAAAGTAACTGAAGACATTTTTTCTTTTTTTGTAATTTGTTTTAAAAGGCAATTATAGAAATAAATAGAAAATCTGCAGATTCTATGGTAAAATTTTATACCTGCTTCCCAATATCAATGGATGGAAATCAACTCTCAATAAGTATGGCTCCTGAAAACATGAATGTAAAAGACGAGGTAAATATAACAGACTTACTATTATTTTTATTAAATTTTAAATCAAATTTATTGTAGTCATATGTTTTTCTAGTTTTCTGCCTTGGTTCACGTTTTCTCTCAGACAGTGAAGAAGCCTCTTTCGGTCCCTCCACACTCTGCCATCTACAATATGGAAGTAACTCTCTGTTTGAGAGTTAACTTCCATATTGAGAGAATCCAGTCCTCTGCGTATGTTCGATTGGGAAAAAAGTTAAAAACTACTTTCTATAGAATACTGTCCATATTGCTGTCTATATTCTTATCTCTGCCATTCTCTGTCACACAAATTAGAATCCCAGAAGTTATCTTTAATTTTTTCTCTCATGTCTCACACACAGTTTATCACTAGGCCTTGTCTCTTTTAAATTCTAAATATTTCTGGAGTTCCATGTTCATGCCATCCACCATTGCTTTACCTCTTAAAACCACCTACTAAAGTAGTTCTTTGTATTTCTACCTTCTGTTTTGTCTCCCTCAAAACCTTGCTCCACAAAGTCAGGAAAACAACATGAAATTCAAATCTATTCAAATTCAACTGATTTAGAAACCTTTCATTGTGGCTTATTGTCAGTGGCTTGGCATGAGGCAGAGATGTTAGAATCTCTAGAGCAAGATAGAAATGCATGTAATTCGAAAATGCCTTCCATTAAGAAATACTTTAATGTGATGTAATTGCTGGGATTGTTTTATACATGTCATGTTTTATACATGTATTGAAGAGAACAATAAATTCAAGACTCATAGTCTCATAAGATAAAGTTCCTTTCCTATCATGTAAGCCTTCCATTAGCTAGCCTTTGCCAGCTTTGACATCTTTGTCTTGTGCCACTTTTGGCCTCTTAATAATTCAACAGCACCAAATTGCTGTACACTTAATACCCTGTGTGCTGTTTTCTACTAGCCTACATCTCTGTTTTTCCTCATCCCCTACTTTGCTTAGTTAATGTTTTGTTTTATAATTTGAATTCTCTTACTGGCTGTTAAATTAAATCTCTTATTCCTTGTATATGAATTTTGAGTGTACTACCCTAAATGGTACCGCCTTATTAATCTTTAATGTGCTTAGGAGAATAGGATAAACTACGTTGTATAGGTAGGGTAGGACTTAATATAGCTTGTTTAGGAAGAGGGAAAGATTTTTAAAGGAACTGTACTTTTGCTGACTTCATTTTAGGAAATAATGCTCAATGGTTATTCTTATAGTTATTTTATTATAAATCCTGACAAATTAAATATATAATTTAGAAAGACCTTATACCTTCAACCTTGATCTATTTTGCTTTTCTAGGAAGCTATATTTACAACCTTGATTAAAGAAAATGACCCAGAGGTGAGTTTTGCATTAAGTGCTTTTGTATACTTGTTTAATTGATAGAAACATTGGTTGTTTATTTGTTCACCTGTTAGAAATTGAAAGAAACCTTAGTACTAATTTTAAAATACTGAGATAAGGAAGATTTCAGATGGGTCTTCTCTTGGTAAAATAAATACAGAGCGACGGTAGTCCTTGATGTGAAATATCTTCCAAATATTGGAGCCATATTTAGTGGCCAAATAGGTCAATACCTGTCTGAGGATATTTCTAATAAATATTATGTTGATAGAAGTAAGAATACCCTTCTTGTTTTATTGTATCGATTCACTGATTACTCACATCTAAAACTAAGACTTCACTATCTTCACCCACATAGTCATTTTCTTAGTCTTCAGAGAGGACATCATTTGATGACCTCTGAAAAATTAAATAACTATTAATCTGTGTTTTATAGTTTGATACTTCAGCTGTGTTTTTCTTTTTCTATGCTGTCTCTAAAAAACTACAGGCAAATATAGATAAAATTTATAATCAATTTGTACATATTGATAACTTACCAGAAGATGGACTTCAGTGTGTACTTTGTATTGGACTTCACTTTGGAAAAGTGGATCACCATGTATTCATGAGTAATAAAAACAAGGTAACAAGGTTCCTCCTATTTTAGCTATATGTTCTGTAGAGCAGGTCCCCAAACCTCTGGGAACCGGGCCGTACAGCAGGCTAGCGAGTGAAACTTCATTTATATTTGCTGCCACTCCCCAGGGCTACCATCACCACCTCAGCTCCACCTCAGATCATCAAGCATTAGATTCTCATAGGAGCACCAGTCCCTGGTACCAAAATGGTTGGGGACTGCTGCTTTAGACATCTTTAATTCTCCTGTTTTAAAAAAATACGTACCATCCTTTTCAATTTTGCCTTGACTTTGCAGCATTTTAAGGCTATTTTCTTATTGTTTACTTGAAATAAGGATTAACCTTACCTTTGTAATCACTTATTAGTCTCAAAAAAAATATTCATACTTTTAAAATTAAAACACTTATTTTGGTAATATATATAAGAAAATTTACCGTTTAACTATGTTTAAGTGTCAGTTCAGTGTACATTTACATTGTTGTACAATCATCACCACTATCCATCTTAAGAACTTGTTTCATCTTTCCAAACTGAAACACTATCCACTAAACAGTAATTTCCCATTCCCCCTCTTCTTAGCCCCTGGCAACCACCATTATACCATTCTATTTTCTGTCTCTATGAATCTGAATACTCTTGGTATCTAATATATTTTACTAGCATATTTTACTTAGCATAATGTCTTCTAGCATGTGTTGTAGCGTATATCAGAATTTCCTTCTTTTCTAGGGCCGAATAATATTCCATTGTGTACATGTACCACATTTTGTTTCTCCACTCATTTGTTGATGGAGTCTTGTGTTGCCATCAACTTTTGGCTGTTGTGAATAATGCTGGTATGAACATGGGTGTACAAATAATCTGTTTGAGTCCCTATTTTCAATCTTTTTGGCTATATACCAAAAAGTAGAATTGCTGAATCATATGACAATCCTATTTTTCATTTTTTTAAAGAACTATTTATATTTTTTTATTGTCTCCAAAGGCAATTCTTCAGTTAGAGAGTCCTGAATCTGCACAGTTAATGTACAACTTTCTGAAACAAAATCCGCAGAACATAGGTGACCATGTATTGACCTGCACATTATCTCCAAAGATGGACTCATCAGAGGTAAGATTTCTTTGTATCAACTTTTGTGCTTTTATAAAATGAAGAAAGCTTGAAGGTCATTCTCCCAAAGCTGGAAGATGTACTATGACAGTAATTTTTAAGGGTTTATTCTTGGGCAATAATCAAACTGGTACTGAGTTTGGATATTCTTTTATTTAAAAATTAGTTTTACAATCACTTTTAATTTTTATGTTTTATGGAACAGTATAAATTTGAGAATAAATTGAGGTAATTTTGAAAAATGTAGCATAAGTCTTATTTTGGACATAAGGTATAGCGATTCCATATATGTAACATGATTGTCTCCAGAATGCGGAGACTACTTTGAGTCTATTTTGGATTCATCTTAGTAGAAAGGAGTTTGTTTATTCTTTTATTTTTTTAAATCATATTTATTATAAACTCTCCTTGAATAAGATATAAGCTTTTACAGGTTCTTATATAGTAATAATACATATGTGAAACTATGAATAGTCCACCTTTGAAAGAATGAAATTCAAACTTATGTTTTCTCTGTTTCATTGTATCACAATAGCAGCTGGTAAACAGTGGAGCTTGTATTTGGTATCTGCACATTTTTTATTTGTTAATCTGCCAAAAATCTTGTGCTAGCTCAAGAAAAAGAAAATTCCATCATTAAAACAAAATTAAATAGAGCACCTATAAGTAAATGCATCGTGGTAGGTACTGATATAAGCACAAATTGAGGGAGTTGTTTAACCTGGTAATTTCAGGGAAAAATTAGGTTTTTGCCTTTTTTTCCTCAACAGAACATTATATTTTTTAAAATTGTTTTCGATATTTTTCAAGTTACTACTTTGTTCAGCTCAGTTCAGAATTATAATAAACACTGACTATACAGAAATTTTTCTTCCAGAAATATGGTCCCAGATTCTTAGACTGAAAGACAATGAAACAAGTAAAAATTACATAAAACCTCTACCTGAATTGATAATTTACTTCCCAAGCCCTTACTCAGAACCTTATTCTTACACCTTATTCAATTGGAGACCCCATTTTGCTTATTGTAAAAGTTTTAGCTACACCACTGATAAGCTAGCCTTGTGATCTTGAGCATGTCACATAGTGTCTATTATATCCATTCAATAAGTGATAAATAGATAGTAGAGTCAGGTAGACTTATTTCAAGATATTATAATGTTCCATATGAGAATGAAAGCCCAAGCTAGGAAATAGACTATGAAATTGAAATAGATCCTGCTCCCAATTTTTAAATAATAGTTTTTATTTATTTTGTTTATCATGAGTTAATTAACATCCTTAGGATACACTCGCTTTAAACACTCTTCCCCATTTCGTTACCTGTAAGTTACTTCTGCATGTAGTACAATTCAGTCTTTAGTTCTACAAATTATAGTTATCCTGCAGATGAAGCATGAAGGCTTAATTCTACATACTGAAAACCAATACCTGCATAACAAGAGCGGGTCTATAAAGAAAGAAATATAATGTCTATAACTTCTATACTCAGAAGAGACTTTCTTATATTCTCAGTCATTTCTCAGATGATTCTTTAATTTGATGTTCTTCAGTATGTAGATTATGGTTTTCCTGTACAGTTTAGGAATTGTATTTTATTATTATTGAGAGGAAAAAAGACTGTCTTATCTTATTCAGGTCATATAACTTAATTACTATTTGTTAAATAGAATCTACTCTCTCTTTAAAGATATTCTGACTGCCTCTTCTAAATTTATGGCTATTTGCTTTAAGCAACTGTATGTCTTTGATTTTATTGCTCTTCTGAGTTATTTTTATTATTTTTTTGGATTCTGTATATCCCACTCTCTTGGGATTGCTTTTCTGTTTGCTAGAGTACGTTGTTAAATAATTTTCCCCAGAAAATATGTGTGGCCAGTAAACTTTAAAATATGAATTCCTGCATATTTGAAAATGACTTTATTTTCCTTTTACACATTTCATTGATAGTTTGTGGAGAATTCTGTGCTTGGAATGCTTTTCCTTTTATTTTTCCTAACCAGTATTGTTGAGAAGGCTGATTCCAATCATACCTGTTTGTATTGTTTTTTTCTCTCTGAAGACATTTAGCATTTATTCATTAAACAAATATTTAATTCCTTCTCTGTGCCAGCCCTGTTTTATACATTGGAATACATTGATGAACAGAAGAGTCATTGGCCCAGTCCTCTTTTAGTGCAAGAGATAGACTATAAATAGATAAGAAATATATATAATATATATAATGTCAGGCAGTAAAGAGTGCTATAAAGTGCTATGGAAACAAATCAAAATAAAAGGATAAAGAGTGATAGCTAGGGGACCATGTATTTTAGAGTGGTCAGGGATAGCTCCTCTGAGTTATTTGAGAGGGCTGAAGTAAGAGAGCAGGCTCTATGAATATATCAAGGAGGAAAGGTTTTTAGAAGAGCTGAGGCCTTCAGGTGATTCATTTGGTGATTCAGGAGTCTCCCAAGGAGAATCAGTAAGGCTAGTGTAGTTAGCAAGGTTTCCTCTTGGTTTGAGACTTACTTCCTATATCCTGATTAAAGCATTTTATGAAGAAACTTATAGAGTGTGTTCCTGCACCTGAGGAAAGTTTTTCTCTTATTATTTCTTCTCTTAATTTTTAATGTTCTGTCTTTCTGGAAATAACACCTGTACTGATTTCGTGGATACTTTTTCCTGTTCAATTTTTCTTTAGAGGATATTCTTTAGAGTTGTTTTTAAAGCTCTTCAGTTCTCTGCAATACCTTCAACTATTTTTGTATGCTTATCTTGTTCTCTCATGCATTTGTTTTTCTCTTTTATTCATTTATGACGAAAGAAGCAAGTTATCCAATAAAGGTATCTGGTATAGATTTTCTATACTATCATATAGCCTCTTTTCCCCTCTAAGTGCTTCTCCCATGAATGAGAAGATTGCTTGGAAACACTTGGATGGGGCTTATCAACTGCCATCTTTCATTTCAGTTATAGACCATTACAATGTAGACTGGATACTAGACCAGATACCCAGCAAAGAAGGCCTTTACTCTAGGACTCCAAAACCTATAGTAGGAATCCTCTCTGGGCATATTGTTCATTGTACTTTAAAATACAATTCTCAGTTTTTAATTTGACCAAATCTAGAGAAAGATAATTCTCAACTCAAGAGCACACGATTCCCACTGAAAAAGCCTCTAGCTAGTATGTATAAGCTCTAAAGAGCATATGTTTTTGCTATTTTGTTCACTGGTGTGTTCTAAGTGCCTGGACCAGTGCCTAGACACTGAGTTTTAATTCCTGCTTCTATTTTGGGTCCAGGACATTGCTTTCTTAGTGGTTCAGACATATGTTTAAAATGATTATTGTTAAATTTTGTCCAGCACCTCTAGATGTTTCAAGTAAACTAGTTTCACTTATAAATAGAAGTATTTTTAAGTAATAGTTGTACAACAAAGATGTTGGTATTTTAGGTTGATTGTTTCTATTCCTAGCAAAGGGTGGTATTTTCAGACTTGTAAAGTTAAAAATGTGCTTCCTAATTTATATCAATGTTAAAGAAACTTATTTTTCTAATTAATTGCTATGTGTTAGTTATGCTGTATGACTTAAATTTAATGATTTTTAGAGCCTGATAGTTATATGGACACTGATAACTAACTTTTAATGTGTTTTTTAAGTGTAGTTTAGTTTTCTTAGCTTAAATTTTAAGAACTGAAGTCATTGCATTGATGGGTTAAATATTTAAAATCCAGTAGAATAGCCTCTAATAAAATGTGGAATTATGTTACAGGCTCAAGCCGTGAAAGACCAAGAACTAGGAAAAGAAAGGTATGTTGCTTTACATTTGCTAAGATTTTTGTATGATATTTAGTTAATTACTGAATTTTATTTCTGTATTTTATAGTAATTGTTCATATATAGAAGAAAATTCATATTCTACAGTTCATTTTGTGTTTTGTGTGTATATATGTGTATGTATACACACATGAGTGTTGATTTCTCTTTTGGTTTTGTTCAAGAGTTGGGGGATTTTGCTTGTGTTTTGGTTTTTCTCAGATATTTATTGATTTTTTAGAAAAACTATAAATATAGTTTGAATTAAATATGTAAATATGACTTCTCTATGAAATGTTTTACTAAGATGCTTGAACAACTTGACTCCAATCAGTATTATATTCTTGATAGATTTTTCTATTTCAAAATAGTAAAACTTTAATTAATCTTTTTACATAACCTTTTAAAATTTCATTGACTTAAAACCAAAAAGGTAGTATTTAATGTATATTTAAGTAAATACTTTTTGAAAACAACTGGGGTGGGGAAATATTTGTAAAACAAAATAATATGTACGCTGCTTTATATTTTCTGAGGATGAAAACTTATTCTTCAGAGTCTACTCAAAATAGTAACTCACAGTCTTGTTTTGACCACATGTAGTACGTCCTCTTCTTGGTCACTTTCTCATCATACCTTTGCCCCACCAATTAATAACCTCCCTTTTCCTACTCTTTATTGGGATTTGCTGATTCAGGCTTCTTTCTCTTCCTTTATATACTGAGTAATTTGCCCTTATCTGTTAGAACTTATGTAGTAAGAGCTTTTAAGTTTGAAAGTGTTTAAATATGGAGAGTCTAATTATTTTATTTGATACACTGTCTAATTTTAAGATTCCTGCAAAACAATTCTTTATGGATTTTTCTTCTTAGTAATTAATTCTTATGAGACTTTTAAATGATAAAGATGGTTATGAGTACATTAAAATATGTCGGTGACTTTAAGCAATAGGTTTTCTGTATGTGTCAGCACAGACATTTTTTAAGTTGTACAACATTATATACCAATTATATTCACATGTCTAAGAAGTAATACCGATAGTGGTGTTTGATATAAAAGCTCATAAAGGGCTTAATAAATAACAATGCCACATACAGTAGTATAGGAAGACCTACAGTTGGCCACAGTAACTCTGGCTGGTAAGTAAGTAGGCTCTTCAGAATTACCTACTTTATATATTTCATTCGACAAAGTTTCTTTCAGGTCTGCAAGAATAGGTATTATCTGTGTTTTGGTCATTCCTCCCCCCTTCCCCCTTTTAAAATCAAAGATATTTCTTAATAATTTAGAGATAGTTATGTAATCTTTAAAAAATTAATTTAAAACATTCTATTGCAGTCAGTTTTTTCACTTACATGACATTAGAGAAAAAGATTTGGATAGTAGCCTGAATACATCACAATTTTTTATTGGAGTAAACTGATCCTGAGAAAATACTGGTGCTTTCTCTTTTTTTTTTTTTTAAGCACTTGTGGGTGCTAATTCATAATGGATATGATTTATTTTGTTTATAATTAAAGTAAATGTTTCCTATTTAAAGGAAGTCTTGCATGAATATATTAATAATTTAATATTCTACATATTGCCTATTCTCATTCACCCCTCCCCCCCACCACACACATAAGCATCATTTATTTATCATGTGATTAAGGCTCCAAATAAGGATGCAAGATGAAATTTTCTCCAATTCTTTAATAATGTTGGGAAGTATCCAGTGGCCCTCTGAAATAAATACTAATCTTAAGTACTGTGAAATCTCAGTCTCAAGTTTCTCGGAAAGTATATGGTATGGTGTTAACATTTGTTCTCATGGCCAGCTTTCATTGTATGCCTTTTTGAAGATTTTGAAGCTCTGGTATTATGAGGGTTTGGGGGTGGAACAGAGGGTGGGAAATTGATGCCTGTGTCCTGAATGCCTTCCTGGAATCCTTTTTTGTGCCATTTCTCAGAATACAATTGTGCTCTCCGTTGATCTTCTGAAAGACTTGTTGTTTGATTTTACTGTTAATAATTTCATTTATTTGATATTTCAAACTGACTTCCCAAGCTAACTTGATGAACACCAAGGCTTTTTCCCATATTAACCAGAAAAATAGATATTAATTTTTGATAAATGAGTTCTACAAAGAAAGCACTGTTATTTTAAAAGACCAACACATAAGAACAAACACAGAATTGAGCCATTTTTCCAAGTAGGTCTGTGATGTTTGAAATGTGGAACAGTTGCATAATGATTCATTTTGTATAAAAGATAATAGCTTTTTTTTTTTGGTACAAACTTTAAATATGGTAAAGGAGAAAGACTTAACTATATACTAGAGCCAGGAATCAAAATCTCCGTTATCTTTTTAGCCCAATAGATTGGTGTATTTGTATAGCCCTAATTAGTAAAGGCTTTAGGGTTAATGTGCAGTTCTATAATAAGCAGGAATTTGAATTTAATCTTCATTTTTGGAAATGAGTCTTATAATTTAAAAAAGAGCTTATATTTTAAGAAATAATATTTACATAACTGCTTTAACTGAATGTGACTTTTTATTGTCTGTTCTATTCGTACTTGGCCATAGTTTTATTTTGACTAGTCCTAAGAATTGGAACACTTAAAATCAGCCGTTAGTATTTTTTTAATGTAAGGAATGTGGATTATTTCAAATTACCTTTAAATGCTTTCAGTGTACAAAGAGTAGCTTACACAGATGAATAGAATATATATTGATTAAGGTCTGTGGTTACTGGCTGTTTAACTTAAATCCTTCAAACTCTTTACAACTTTTCATCAAGAGTTTTTGTGACAAAAATTTCCTCCTTTGGAAGTTTAAACTTAGCATTTTTAGGGGAAGGAGCAGTTTATTAGTTCAAATTATTAGACCCTGATATGGTAGTAGTTACTTGTTCCAAACTTCTAAAATATTATTAACATCTCAGGACACTACACATTATCTTGTATTAACTAAAGGTATATGGCCACCCTTTCAGAAGCAAATCATGGGGGAGTGTCTCATCCCCACCTTCCTTGGAAAGTAGAAAAAAGTCACCTCTTTACTATGAGGTATTGATATGGCATAATCACTTTCTGGTGTGTTCAACATGCTACTTCTGATGTAATTAATTGAATGTATTTTTTGAACTTCAATTTGTGTTTATAGCATGTTAGACACTATCTTTGGACACTTGAATTTTCCTTGTTACTTTTCAAGATTACATCTGATCTATGGAGCATTAATGTAAATAGTTTATTCTGTCTTAGTGAAAGTAGTTGAATTACAGAATCATACTTTTGTTTACTTTGGTTTTGAGAAGACCACAATGAAATAAGATTGATTACATATACTTGCCATGTATTTCATTGATTCATTCTGAATAATTGTACTTATATCTTTGAGTTATTTATTGGGATTTTAAATTATTCTTGGTAACTAGAAAGATTTTTTAAATATATTCCTTCTCACAAGGTAACCAAAGTCATATATTTTATAAGAAGACTACATATTTATGTTGGGAAGATTTTTTGTCAGTTTCACCTCTAACTTTAAATCTCCAACAGAGTATTTAAAAGTTTTCTTTTAAGTATTAGTAATAAATAGTTCTTGGGAAATTAGTATGGCCTTTTCTCCCTACCAGTTTCTATTTATGTTCCTTTTAGGTAAGGTTTATTTATAATATTTCAAACTAAGCATGGATCATTAGTTTCATTAAAAACTATACGTACATTTTGTTATTTCAGTTACCACTGTTAGAAAGATAGGACCTAATAATTTGAGATGTTCTCATTCAGTCTTTGGATATTAGATGCAAACTTGACACAGAAGGAAAAAAATTGGCTATAACTTAAATGAGTTAAAGGATTCTATCAATGGTTACAATTTTGCCATTTCTTTTGAATTAAAAAGAAATCTTCAGTGCAATGGAGGATCCCTTAAAAATTTTATATTGTTTACATATTTATTCCAAAACATCTTAACCATTTTAATGCTGATTGGCTGGATTTCTCAGTGCTTATTATTAAGGTATCAGGAAGTCTAACAATTGACATCAACAGGATTATTTATGATGGTTGAATTCTCATCATAGTTTGATTATTGTTTGTGTTTTTGTTTGTGTTCTTTTTTGTTTGTTTTTAAATACTTTTAGCCCAGACTCGAAAAACAGTCCAGTTGACGAAAGTGAGGTGCAAACAGCAGCTGATAGTCCCTCTGTTAAACCTAGTGAAGTTGAAGAAGAAACTATTCCCAACATTCAAACAGAAACTTCCATACAACAAGAAGAGCCTTATGAGGAAGAACCTGAAAAAACACTGTGTGACTCTGACTTTGCTTTTGAAACGTTGGAAGTTGAAACTCAAGGAGAGGAGGTCAAAGTGGAAATTCCTCTGGTAGCATCTACTCCCACCAATATTGAGTTATTTGCTGAAAATGTAGCGGAGTCTGTTTTAAATCAGCAGGTGTATACCAGTGTCTTTGAGAAGGAAGAGGCAGAAATGATTAATCCTGAAATAGAGCTATCAACATCTGACAATGCATTTATTGAAGAAAGAAACATCCAAGGAATTCTAGAAGAATCTCCATCTGAAGCAGAAGATTTCTTTTCTGGGATTACACAGTCTATGATAGAAGCTGTAGTGGAAGTGGACAAACATGAAACTGTTTCAGAAATAGTACCATCGACTTGTATTGTGGCCTTGGAACCAGGAATTTCTACTGGAGATGAGAAGGCAGTGAGTAGAAAAAGAATTTCTGAAAAAAGTCACATAGATGAAAAGGAGGAGAATGAATTTAATGCTAAGGATACAAAAATGGACTTGCACATAGGAACAGAGAAGGCTGAAAAGAGTGACTCTAGGATGGTTGCAGAGAAGTTGGAAAAGATAGTGGCAGCAGTGAAAGAAAAGCCTACAGAAAACACTGTGATCAAGGTATACCCAAATAAAGGAGTAGGTCAGGCTAGTAAGCCTGATGAAACTAATAAAACTAGTATGCTGGCTGCATCAAATGTACCTAGCAGTAAGTCAAGCATCAAGGCAAGTATGGTCTCTTCTCCAAAGGGAAAAACTACAGTTTCAAAATCTGAAAACCAGAAAAGTTTTCTAAAATCTGTATTCAGAGATCAAATAAATGCTGAAAAGAAACTTTCAGCCAAGGAATTGGGTCTGCTTAAACCTACAAGTTCCAGGTTGGCTGAAAGTAGCAGTAAATTCAAACCCACTCAGAGCAGTATTACCAGAGGAGGCAGTGGAAGGTTCTCAGCCCTGCAAGACAAGGATTCTAAATTGGATTACAGGGATATTACAAAACAGTCTCAGGAAACAGAGGCTAGAACTTCGATCAAACGGGATGACAGCAACAATAAGGTGAGGAGGGTAGGAAGAATGGCTCAGTGTATTTTTGAAGTTCTGCTGTTGTAGCTATGGAGTAGGAGATGTAATCTTGTTTTATCTTTCATCTTCTTACTTTACTCCCAAGCTCCCATTTCCCTTAACAATTCCATTGATCTAAGCCAGTAGACATTTAGAATAATAAGCTCAAGTTCATAATTATTAACAGGTTTGAAAAGCATTATTAGAATAAAATGTGGTCAAAAACATAATTTTGTAGTTTAAAAAAAGTCTGCAGTGAGTCATCTGAGGTGATTTAGCACTCTACTTCTGAATGGGAAACTTTTCTCTTTTAAATTGAAGCTTTTATTATGAGCTTACTGAATACCCAACTTAGATATTATTGGGAAAGGTCAGTAAAACGGAATTTAACTACAACTTATAGACTATGCCTGTACTGTTAAATGACTGTTGACTTAGTTTGGTATACCTGTTAAATATTTGTGTAACTGAATGTGTTTGGATAATGTTTGCTGTTTGAAGTCTCTCTTTTTTAAAAAGAACATTAATAACCTAGTTGTAAATTCTGTTTTTCTATATTTTTTACTTAATATTTCAGACTTTGGCTGGGCAAAACATTAAGAATCCTAAAAGCACCACTAGTAGAAGTTCCAAGTCTAAAGAGGTAAGAAACCATTGACTAACACTAAGCCTTCTGTTCCATCCCTTCATAGAAGAGTACATTTATTTACCTTAGAACTTGTGTCTCTCCTATAATAATTAGTTTGATATAGAGCAAAGGACAGGAATAAGTTTTGTTTTGTTTTTTTTTTTAACCCTGCCTCCAATTCATTTTTGTCCTTGAGCTAGGTTAGCTTGTGTTCTTCATGCAGGACAAAAAGTTACCAGAGATAGAATGAGAATTAGAATAGGAAAATATATTCAATCGCATATTGACAAAAATAGGTTAGAAACATAGGGGAAAATCATATGAAAAGGAGTCTGGTGTTTGACTAGAGTCCTCCTCCTCCTCATTCTGCAGCACTTCCAAGTAGATTGTCATTTCAGTAACCTAAATAGATGGGATCTAAGATTTACTTTTCCAGAACTGAGTTCTGCTGCCAAACAAATATCTTATGTTTTATATTTGGTGGTTTGGTATTTTAGGTTTCCGCCATTCATAGAACATTTTTTCAGTCATTTTACTTTTTTCCACCAGTAAGGGATGAATTTGGGTCTATTTTATTGGGGCAAGGGGAAATGTTAGTAGTTTAAGAAGCAGAAGTAAGGATATGGTCAGTTCCATTGACTTAATAAGTTGATAATATAATTGCTTACAGATTCCCCTCCAAAAAAAATTACTGGATATATATTCTGATATTATTGTATGTACTAGTAATTGATCATTGATAGCATATATAAATTCATTAAATCTTCTAGAACACTTTGTTATTTAATGTATAAAGAAGTAAATACGTTATATTGTCTGACGAATGCTTTAAATATAATATTTTTGTGCATTATATTTCAAAAACTTACATCATTTAGGAAATGTAATCTTATTGAAATTAAGTAAAAATGCAATTAGATATAACTAGGATTTTATCTTTGGCAGGTTGTTTGCTTTTTGAATTACAGCTAATTCATTTGTAGGGTTTTTAAAAATAACTCTTAATTTCAGTCTTTAGGAAACTTCTCTGCACTGAAATTCTCACAAATGATAGTTCATGCACATTTACTGGGTCTATTTGGAACCTAACCAATTATCAGTAGTTGTTCATAATTCCGTGATTTTTTTTTTTAACCTTTCTAACAGGAACCATTATTTCCATTTAATTTGGATGAATTCGTTACTGTGGATGAGGTTATAGAAGAAGTGAATCCTTTGCAAGCCAAGCAGAATTCACTAAAGGGAAAAAGGAAAGAGGCTCTCAAAAATATCCCTTCCTCTGAACTTAACTTAAAAAAAAAGAAGGGGAAAACTTCTGCCCCTCATGTTGTTGAGGGAGAATTATCTTTTGTAACATTGGACGAGATTGGGGAAGAGGAAGATGCAGCTGCCCACCTAGCACAAGCTCTAGTCACTGTGGATGAAGTAATTGATGAAGAAGAAATAAACATGGAAGAAATGGTAAAAAATTCAAATTCACTTCTTACGTTAGATGAGTTAATTGATCAAGATGATTGCATTACCCACAGTGAGCCTAAAGATGTTACTGTACTGTCAGTGGCTGAAGAACAAGATCTTCTCAAACAGGAACGCTTGGTAACTGTGGATGAAATTGGAGAAGTGGAAGAGCTACCTTTAACTGAGTCAGCAGACTTAAGTTTTGCCACTTTAAATACTAAAGGAAATGAGGGAAATATTGGAAGGGATCCCATTGGGTTCATTTCTTCTCAGATGCCTGAAGACCCTTCTACTTTAGTTACTGTAGATGAAATACAGGATGACAGCAGTGATCTGCACTTAGTAACTTTGGATGAAGTGACTGAAGAGGATGAAGACTCTCTGGCAGATTTTAACAACCTTAAAGAAGAGCTTAATTTTGTCACTGTTGATGAAGTTGGAGAGGAAGAAGATGGAGACAATGATTTAAAAGTTGATTTAGCACAAAGCAAAAATGACCATTCCACAGATAAAAGGGGGGATAGAAAAAGGAGAGCTGTGGACACAAGGAAGACAAAACTTGAAGCCTTGTCTCAAGTAGGTTCAGTAAGTGAGAATATAATGGAAGAAGATCTGAAAACCATGATTGAAAGGCATTTAGCAGGTAGATACTTGGAAGTGGTAGTTTTTCTGTTTTATAAGAGTATTACATTAAAAAATTTTTAAATATGTGTTGCAGCATTACTAATAATTTTACTCTGTACTGATATAAGAAGCCAACAAATAGTTATGATCAGTGATATTCTCCAAAGAAATGTGTACAAGTTTTACAGATTTCTCTTAGTTACAGAGTAGACCTTACCCCAAGTTACTATACCTCAAGAAAAGATGACAAAACCAGAAAGCACTCTACAATACCCAAATTAGAACTGGAATGAAAATGGTGTATTTGTGTTATTGGGAAAAGCATCTTTCGATAATAAGTAGAAGGATGTTTCTATCAGACTGCCTCCCAGTTTGTGCTTAGACTTTGGATTTAGAAAAATTCATGAAGGTACCATTGCACTCTTAAGTAATATTTTGAGGGTATAGAATAATAACCTCAAAAGTCAGCTCACTTTCAGGATTTGAAGGAGATAAAAATCATTTCCAGTAAGAAACTCTTATACAATGGAATATTACTGAGCTATTAAAATGAAATCTTACCATTTGCAATGACATGGATGGACCTAGAGATTTTTATGCTTAGTGAAATAAGTCAGAAAGATAAATACCATGTGATTTCACTTATATGCGGAATCTACGGAACAAAAGAAAGGAACTAGTTAAACAGAGACTCACAGATACAGAGAACAAAACGATGACTGCCAGAGGGGAGAGGGGTTGGGGGTTATGAGAAAAAGGTGAAGGAATGAAGTACAAATTAGTTAACAACAGTCACAGGGATTTAGAGTATAGTGTAGGCTATATAGTCAATATTATTGTAATGATGTGTGATGCCGGGTGGGTGTTAGAGTAATCAGGGGGACTCTGTGGATTGTATAAAATGCCTTTTTTAAATTAAAAAAAAAACAAAAAAAAACAACTCTTGAAAGAGTTAGCCAAGCTAAGAATAAAAAATACTAGGACAGTCCCACACGCTTATGGAACAAAACAAAAAAATATATGTAGGCTCCTTGGGGAACACAGGTAGGAAAGTATAGTTTGGAACAAGATAATGGGAAAGTAAAAGGAGAATATTTTTTAATTGAATTCTCTTATATTAGAAATAGGTTTCCTTCCTAATTTGAGTATTATCTTGTTTGCAGAAAATGGTGTTAAAACTGTTATTCAGAGTTAAAGGTAATTTGAATATTGTTACTATAGAAATAAATTAGATTTTCTCTTTAAAGCTAAAATGCCAACCAAGAGAGTTAGAATTGGGAAAACACCTCCACTGGAAAAAGCTGTTGCAGGAGAACCAGCGCAAGGTGAAGAGGCCTTCCAAATTAGTGAAGGTAAAGCAAGATTGATGGAAGAGGGGGGGCGGGGACAGGAGAGTAACACAGCAGAAGGTGGTGGTCGAAATTCCAAAGTTCTAACATCTAAGAAGAAAAGTAGAAAACCATGAAATAGAGTGGGGAGGGAGGCAGCCTTACAGATTTTAATCTTTACAGAGAGATAATGGAACATAATGGAATGGGAGAATAATAGGCCATCTTATTAGAAGTGAACAAATTTTTAGAAATGATCGATGAAAGGTTATTCTGACTGTGTAGAAAGCATCAAGTAGAAATCATTAACTAGCTCTTGTTCATAGACCAGATCCCTTGTTTTGTGAATGGTGCCAAGCAGCCAGACAATGAATCAAGATATCTTCATTTTATTAATATAACTTATGTTGAAACTAATAGGGGACTTGTGTCTAAGGGAGAGCACTCTAGTTACACAAATATTTGCCATTTTGTCCATTTAGCATTGCAAAATACTAAAAAGGGTAGACAAGAAAAGCACACTATTGCACATCTCAGGTTTATTGATCGAGAGAGGTAAAACAAAAAATCAACTACCAGAATGACTTAAGCAGCTGTGTAAGGGTATCCATTGTTCAATTCTCTTTGCAGCACCCTCCTTGCTCTTCTGTTTTCCTGTGTTCTCTAAGGAAAAGCAACCAATTCTGATTCAGTCCAAGGTCATTGAATTTGATCTCAGCTGGGCCCTCAGTTCTGCACTACAAACTGTTACAGACTTCCTTTCTTTCTCATTTCCTAATTAGCTGTAACATAAGCCTTTTTCCCCCTCCGTATCACCTAGCCCATTCTTCACTGGATAATCTTGCTTTCATTTCTATTTACCAGAGCAAATATATGCCCTCCCCTGTCTACTACCTTGTAGTTTAGCTACACTGGCTCCTCACCCATAAAATATGCCTAAGTCTTTCCTATTTAAGAAACCATGCCCTTAACCTTGGAGTCCTTCTAGCTCCCATCTTGTCTCCTTTCTTTTAACACAAAGCATTTAGAAAGAACACCTATTTTTACTTCATCTCCCATTGAACTGGATGTATATTGGCTACTTTCTGAATCACCTTCCTGAAGTTGATGTTGATAAAGAACCTCTTTTGGTCTGTCAAACTTGATTTTAAGGTTTTTTTCTTCTTAATTTAGTCTTATTTGTTACTATTGATCATGCCCTCTTTTTTTTTTCTTTTTTTTTTTTATTATTAGTTTCAGGTATACAGTACATTGGTTAGGCATTTTATAGTTTATGAAGTGATCCCCTCGATTACTCTATCACCTATCGGGCTCTCATGCCCTCTTTCTTAAAGCTCTTTCCCACGGCCAGTCGATACTTCTTTGTTTTCGTCTCTGTAACTTCCCCTTGATACCAGGCCACAGAGGTTTAGTTGAAGTATGAAGAAAGGATGATTTATTTACTGCTTATGTAACAATTTATATCTCCATTAATGGAGAATCTTTTCTCACTTAAGAAAAAGTCATTTTCCAACTTAAACTATGTTTTTTAATCTATTTTAATTATATAATTATTATATTTTTTATCATTAGATAAATGTGCCTTTGGAATGGCAGAAGTAAGTGTGTTTGATATTGCTTTAGTGAGGGAATGAACTTTTGTAGGGAGAGACTGGAGACTATGTAAACCATTGATTCAAGGAAAGGAAGACAGCCCTTTTTTTTTTAATTGCTTCTTTAGGACTTTTGATGACCAGTAAAATGCTAGGATTAAGAGAAGAGTAAATAATGATTTCATAGTTGCTAGCAATCTCCTCAGATTTGGTAAAGGTAGCCCAGTTACATGGAGAGAGCACTTAACTTGAAGTCAAAAGTCTTGGTTCTGGCCTCTGTCACTTATTAGCTATGCATCCTTAAGCATATCAGTTTCTGCCTCTTGGTTTTGCTTTCTCCATCTATGAATAAATAGGAATATTAATGATTTGACTTATATCACGCAAGATAAACGCTAAATGAATGACATATATGAAAGTGATTTGTCGAGTACTACACAAAAGTTGTAAGGTATTTCGGCTACTGAGGTTAACCAGGATTGCTTGTGGGACCAGTTTCTTTTTTGTCTTCCTCCAAGATCATATTTTGCATTATATCTGATAACATCGAGTGCTTTTTACATGTTATTCACTCTGCTTTTTTTAACATTTGTATTTTCACTTGTGAGTCTGTCTAACAAGGGTCTTAGTCCATCAGTTTAGAGTAAGTCCATCAGTTTGTTTTTTCTTTTTTTTTTTTTTCCTGGTTAGAAGGGCCTCAGTACAGGACATCAGAATTATCCTCTGCTCATGTCTTTTTCTCCTTAATCCATACTTTCCGCAACTCAACACTTTGCATACACAAGTTAACTCTTGACAGTAGTTATAGAACTTGAACTTCTTTCATTACACTTTAAATTCTTTCTGGAACAATTTACAAATAAAATAAACTGTTAGTTTTAGTCCTTGCCTTTTAAATCCTTTTAATAAGGTTAAACAGATTTACTCATTTATTCCTTCCATTAAAGAATCTCGAAAGAGTGATCAGGTGAGATTAACTAAGGAAGATTTACTTAAAGAGATGAACCATAAATTAGTCTTTGCAGGTAGGGATTATCTAATGTTAGCTGCACACAGTCTACAAATCTATTTTGAGTAACTTTTTTTTTCTTAAAAAACACAATGACTTCAGTTGATGAAGAATCTGGCTTAAAGGATTCAGAACCAGAAGGAAAACGCAAGAGAATTGAGGACTGTTTAGGGAAATCAGTGGCAGAAGATATCCCTGAAGGTAAAGTAAAAATGACATTTTTTTCCTTATTCATGTGAAATAAAAATTCAGTACCCTAATAAGAGTTCTCTTGTTTAGATGAGTAATGGAATAACCTTGCTTAGATGGTTGTTTTAGAATAGAAATTAGCAAGTTTTGCATGTTGGCATTTCTGAAAAGTTTATTAAACTGTGTGTTTTTACCTGGCAAGGATATTTTTATTGTACTCTTAAAGTCTGGGATGTGTCTCTTTTTTCATGGTACTTTCTTTTCTGCTCTAGTAAAAATTGAATTATACTTGCCCAGGCAGAAATTCCACTTAGGTAGAACATGCCGAAAAGCTTATCTAGCAAACTTTGTTCATGGCTATTAAGATGATCTGAGGGGCTTCTTATTTATTTACCCAGAATATTCCTCAAGAAGACAATTGCCCATCATTTTGCTGCTTATCTTCCTGTTTAATTTTAATAGGGGATTCCAAAAAATTTTATTTCAAAGACTCTGAAATTCTTTTCCAATGAATTGCTATTCTGAAGGAATTCCCTGGCATTATCTAATTATCTGTAGTATTCCCTGGAATATTATAGAATTTGCTAAAAAGTAAAATAAAGACCTTGGTTTTGTGATTAAAAGCTTAATTACTTTTGACCTCAAGATCTGTAGCAGTATATATTATGTTTGTGCATAAGGATATACTGTGCTTAGTATGGTTGTCATATTTTGATAAATTGATTAGCATAGCTATAGAGATTTGTTATGAATTTTTCTTCTTTCTCTTTTCCCTCTCTCTTCTGTCCTCTAGATTTAGACTTTCTTGTACCGAAAGCTGGATTTTTCTGTCCAATTTGTTCCCTCTTCTACTCGGGTGAAAAGGCAATGACAAATCACTGCAAGAGCACACGTCATAAGCAAAATACAGAGGTAAACTTTTTTTATTCTTAGCTCCTCATAAAATTTTTAGGTAGAGGTATTGTAATCAGTCTACTTTAGTGTCTTCTCAAAATGTACATTCTTTCCCTTTGGAGAACTTTTGAAAGTTAGTGCCACTTGATTTAAGTCCAGAATCCTATTCCTCTCCTTCATTGTACCTGGCCAGTAACTTCTAGGCTTTATTTTTTTCCTTTGGCATCATTTGCCATAGTAGATTTTGCAGATCGCTAGTCCCATGTGACATTCCATTCAGTGTGGGAAACTATTTGGATGCCCTCTTGCAGAGTCATGGCCACATAGCATATTGAAGTTCTTGAATTGTCTAATCAGAAAGAATCACTTAACCCATTCCGTAAACTGATTTAATCACAACTTCCCCCTCTTTTTCAAGTACAGGTCTTTGGGGAATGCTACTCTAGATAATTATCAGCCATAGCTCTTATGTAACACATATTGAGCTCTTATTTGCTGGAATCTTATTTAACTCCCTCCCTCATCAACTTTATGAGGTAGATGCTATCATTCCAATTTTAAAAATGAGGAAACAAGCTTAAGGAGTTTCTAAACCCATGTATCTAATCCCAAAGTCACATAGCTACTTAGTGACAGATCTAGGATTTGAACGTAGCTCTGTTTTATTCTAGGCTCAAGCTCTTTATTGCTATGTTCTAGCTTTTCTAACTCTATTTTTCATATACGAAGGCCCCTTTGCTGCCTTTGCATCTTTATATTGTTCCTTTGCCCTCTCCCAGTACCACTTGCATCGCTTGTTATTCCTCATTCTTCAAGTCTCAACTTAAATATCAGCTTCCCAGAAAGGCCTTTGCCTAAGAAAGACCTATATAAAATAGAACCCACCCATCCCCCCTCCCCCCCGCAAAAAAGGATCAATCTCAATCAATTATACCTTACTGTATTTTTTCCCTTTTATAGGGCTTACCACCACCCAAACTTATCTCGTTTATTTTTTTTGTTTCTCTTCCCCCACTAGAATGTAAGCTCCATGAGGTAAAGGGCCTTACCTATCTTGTTGACCACTGAGTCCCCAAGCACCAAGCGTAATGCCTGGTATATCATAAATATCAGCTGACTGATGAATATAAGGAAGGAATGTTAATGTAAGGCACAGTGTTTCTAATTTTTATTTTATAGGATCAGATTCTTTTAAATTGTAAATACAATGAAATGTGTTAGATTTGTTTGTACACACAGCAAAGCAACATCTAATAAATACTTTATATTGCAAATTGCTTTTAACAGAAGTTCATGGCCAAGCAAAAAAAGGAAAAGGAGCAGAATGAGTTTGAAGAAAGAAGCTCTAGGTGATTGAGGGAAAGGGAAAAGAATTCATTAGAAATTCATTTAGGGTCCAGTTGATTTGTGTATTTTTGTTATCACTTAATTTGTAATTTTTGTTTAAGAAGCAAATATTCATGTTGTACAAATTTCTGATTGCCCTTGATGTAGAGAGACTGATGGGGAAAGTATGATGGGTTTGATTTTTATATCAAATCATCAGGCATGGAGAAATATCTTTTAGAAGTGTTAAAATAAATGTTCCTACTGTATATTTAAAATACCATCTTGTGTTTATGGCTGATTTATTAAAGATTTGCTTGCCTCTGATTGCAGACGGGCTTCTTCTTTATAGTCACTATGACTTGGAATGTGTGGGGATTCAACTATCCATTTACAGGTCAAAGACTTCTTAAAAGTCTCAAGTTTTTCTGGCTAAAATTAGTTTGTAGCATATTTGGCCCAGGTAGGTTTGACTAAAACTTGACTTGATTTTTAATAATTTTTTTTAACGTGTTGGGAAAATATTTTTTTTTCTGCTTCTGGTAATATCTACTATTTCTGCCAGACCCACGTAAGGTAGCTCCTTATAAGTCATTTAGCATTAGCCTGGAACTATAAAGACAAAGCAGCCTTTACTTCCGGTGTGCTACTAGAATTGCTTTTTAAACATTTGAATTATTTAATATGTTTATAAGAAGTCATAGGGACATAAGAAGTAATTCAGTGGCTTGTTAAATGCCGGACACAGCCCTTTACTATAAATTTTTAGATTAAGCCATGCTTCAGACACAAGCTTGCTGACTTTGAATTGTTTTAGTATCTGATTTCTTAGTTCGTCCAACATTAGAGTGCACCAGTTAATAATAGAGGGTGAGTGGAGGGAAATGAAAACAACTGCTTTTTTTAGGTTTCTTATTCTTATCACAGCATAAGCATTACCTCACAGTCAGCAAGAGTGAAGGACAAAAAGCAGCAACTTTTGGTTGTTGCTTACGAAACTCACTACACACTAGGTTCAGATGTTAGCTACATTCTGAGCAAAAGGACAAAATACTACATGCTACAGATTAAGGAATGGAGTGGGAAGGGGGATAGATTGTGAATGCCACGAGTCCATTGTAATTAAAACCATATAAGTGAATGAGGTAATAAGTGGGAGAAGTGCTATTAAAAGTTTAAAGGTGCCAGCAGTCTAAAGCAGGACAATTAGAGTAAATAAGAATCTTACTTTTAAAGAATCTTCTAGGGCTGCTTCTGAAGCTTTTAAAACCAGAGAAGTTATGAACCATTCTAATCTTATTTAGATCAACCTTGGAGTTTAATCATAAGAATTTAAGTGTGAAACTCTTATTTCCTTCAAATTAGTTTTCTTGAAATTTGGATTCTAGATTAGAATAAAAGGAGCTATGAAAGCATAAAAGTGGTAAGGGTGATTTTTGTATTCATTCTAGTGGTAGATATTGATAGGTATACATAGTAAATAATGTTCGTCTCTGCTGCTTTTTGTACTTAAGCCTGGGAATTTTTATCTCAGGGCTCCAAATAGAAAAAAATTCATGTGCTTTTCTAAAAATATACATTCTTTACAAGTAATTTTAGAATTGTTCTAGATTTTTTCAGAAAACCTTGAACTGCCTATGTGTATTGAATTCATTTACATAGCAATTTTTGTTTATTAGTTTTTTGAGAGATGCAATTAGATTACAGCTTACTTTTAACTTTTTATCATTTCATCATCTAAACATCAAAGCAAAAGAAGGTTGTATTCAATATCACCTACGAAAGTTTTTAAATTTTATTACCCTTTCTGGCACAGAATGCTGTGGGAATTTGTCCAAAACTGCTTCTTTTGAATTAAAAAAAAAAAAAAAATTGAGAGGATTTAAAGTTTTACAATTTTATTTTAATATTTTATTATTTGTGGAAAAAAATCAAGAATACTAAAAAGAATAAGATAATTTACCCTTATGTACAAATTACCTAGTTTCAAGTTATCAACTCAAAGTCTAATATATATTTCATTTCTCTTGTTTTTATTTTTAAGTAAATCTCAGCATGTCATTTACCCATAAATGTTTCATTATGTATTTCTAAAAGGGATTCTTTTTAACATAACCAATAATATTAAAATATTTTTTATTTAAATCTAGATTTTCTTGTCTCATAAATGATTTGTTTTGTCTTAACTGTGTTTTCATCAAGAGCCAAATAAAGTCCATACATTGTGACTGACTTGATAGGTCTTTTAAAAGTTATTTTTAGTCTATAGACTCTCTTCTAAGAATTTATTTGTTGAAAAAAATGAGATATTTGGTTCTGCAAAGCCGTGCTGCTCGTTATATGGTCTTTGCATCTGGTGCCAGTTTGTGATGACTTAAATACAGAAATCAAGAGGTATTTAGGAACTTTCTTGCAGTTTGACAGTGATTTTATGTATGTTTGTTGAATCTAATAAATTGAGGTTTGTATGTTTTTTACAGTTTTTTCTTTTTTTTTTCTTTTCTCTTTTGTATTTTACAAAGTATAGTCTGTGATGGATGGGAAATTGAAGGAAAAGTAAACAGATTCATCACGTAGTTTAGAAGCACTGCTGAAGTGTTTTTCCCACAGTCTGGATTTTGTTGATTGCAACCCATTAGTGTAATCCTAACATACTCCTCTGTCTTCTGTATATCTTATAAATTGGTAGTTGAATATAGAAACTTGATCAGAATTTGGTTCTTTGGGGAGTGGTGGGGGAAAGACTGCTTCAGACACTGGGTCTTCCAAACGAAAGGCACAAAATATCTGATTGCTTTCTTTGGGATATTAGTAGCAGTTGATGCTTAAAGCTTTGATGCATTTATTCATTAGGCATTGCAAAACAGTGATATTTTAATTTACATTTCTTCATGTATGAGCCAGAATATTTTTTTGAAAAGAGAAACTTCTCATCTACTATTTGGTTACTCAGTGGTATAGTTTGTGTAGGAAAGACATGATAAATATATGATGCTTTTTGTTTATTGATTTTTCTCAAAATGAAATGTTTCATTGGGATCTACCAGCTGTGAAACTATTTAAGTATTAATTTGAAGTCATGAATTTTAAATGTGTTTGATATTTTAAACCTTTGTGGTATCAGTCTTATTGATACTCAAATTGGCCCATTTTGGGCCTTTTTGATTTGACTCCTTATTCCTTTTACCTTGGCACTACTAATTTTCATAGGTTCCTTACTTTCTATATATGAATATGTTGCAAATTCACCTGATATACTTCCTGCTCCAGACCTGAAGTCAGCCATTTCTTTGAGGAAGAGTGGGTCAAGGAGAAAAGAAGGAAGAGAAGGGGGTCTGATTTTAAACAGAGCTGCCCCAGAAGGTTGTCACTGGCCTGTGGGTCAGTGAGTTGTAACCCTGGGTAGTCATTAAAAGGATGTCGATGGCAAAAAGATACAAGGTCAAGCAATGCTCATCCAGAAAAAAGCCTGGGATTGAGACAAGCAGTTCTGGCTGTGTGAGCATGTGTGTATGTGTGTGTGTGTTCTCATGTGTTAGTACAAACATGCTTGTATAGAAATTGGAAAGAACCAATAAAACAACTGAGTATGAATGCACATAAGGAAATGTTTTTAAATTCCTGCGAAGGGTAGTCAGGATGTTCATTGCTTCTGTTGTGGTTATTACTTTTCAGTGGACAGAAATTGGGAGTATATGTTGTCTTTTAAGATAAAATGCATCATGATCATAAAGATTCTTGTGTAAACTCAGGACTCTCAGGTTTTTATTTACCTCTTAAATCTAGATTTCTTTGTCCTATATCAGGAATTCTAATTCTCAGGGACATCAGAGTGATAGAATTAAACTATCACAATTTGCTTAAGCTGTATCTCATTTTACATGCATCACAGTCAGAATAATAGTGCTAAGACTACAAACCAACAATGTGATTATTAAAAATAGTTTAAAGTTTTTTTCACTGGAAGTCCTACCCACAGCTGTCAGATAAGACAAAAAGATAAAAGGCATCCAAATTGGAATCTCCTTGTTCACAGATGACATGATACTATATATAAAAACCCTAAAGATTCCACCAAAAAACTATTAGAACTAATACATAACTTCAGTAAAGTGTTTTGGGCTGCCATCCTCCAACCACAAGGTTCTCTAGGGTCTTTTTGGCACCAGGGACCTTTGCTCCTATGAGAATCTAATGCATGATGATTTGAGGTGGAGCTGAGGCCATCATGAAAGCACTGGGGAGTGGCTACAAATTTGGATGAATCGTCGCTGGCTCACCTGCGGCTCACCTGCTGTGCAGTCCTAACAGGCCATGGACAGGTACTCGTTCACAGCCTAGGTGTGGTTCTAGGCTTTGGAAGAAACGTGTCCTGTGGCCAGTAAAGCAGAGCAACAGTATGTAACCTGGGTCCAGGATGACATCCTTACGCTATTGGATCAACCGATGTGAAAACCACCCTGCCTCTGGATTTCTAGTCCTGAGAGTTAATACATTTTCTTATGTTTAAATCAGTTTTGTCATTTTTCTTAAATTCATATTGCTTTGAATGTAGAGGTATAAGGATTTTGAACTTTATCCCATTGTCAACAGAAAATTTGCAGACTTTTGAGATGAAGTTTTGTCATTAAGAAAATCATTTATATAATGCCTTTTACGTGCCATCCACTTTGGTGCTGACTGTAAGAGAACGGTTTAATGTTCATCCTTTGTCTAATGTGATATTGCTGCTTTTCTCATTGGTTTGTGGTTGGTGTCCAGTAGGCTGCTGTCACTGTTCATCTCCCCAGCCTTGCCGCCAGCATCCATACATACACAGAATGCCCCTGTCATGCCCCATGGACAATCCCATTCTACTTCATCTGCACCTTCACCTGGTTCCTCATGCCAGTAGTTTGGACCTCCATGCTCACTAGAGTTTTTGTACCTTTTAGGCTGTTTTGTTGCAGCTTTCTCAGCAGAATCTTGGTGCTAGGAAGACCTTCAGATGTCAAGGCCAGTCCTCAGGCGCTTAAAGATTCTCTATGGCATTTCTATCACTGGCTGTCCACTGAAGGAATATTTCTAAGTCTTGAGTGTTTTCATTTTTAGATCTGGTTATTATAATCTCCCTAAAATTCAGGTCTTATAAACCTAGAGGTAATCCAAGAGAAAAGTTATCAGCTCAGGGTCCTTTGGGTTGGAAACTGTTAGATATTTTCTATTTGTCCAACCGGAACCCCCCTCCAGCCTTTTCCACCCTATTTTCTGCCTCAGGAGGCTAACCTGTGGACTACATTCCTCGCTGCTGCACTTCTGACTGGATTGGAACAATGAGGAGCCAGAGCAGGAG